AATTTAATTATATATAAAATCATGAGGTTTCTACATTCGCACAGTGGTACATAAAAAATGATATCCTTTCATTGTAGAGAGTATAGGTGACCTATCCACCCTCCCTTCTCATCATGATCATTGTATTTTATTTTAAATTTCTTGAGATATTTCATTCATTTTCAGGAAGTGAACATGCCTCGATATTATTCAATTAGTACGAATAATAAAGCTCAAGGTAAAATAATAAAGCCCAAGCACGTGACATTTAATTAAAGCCCGGTGCAATTAAAGCAACCTTCTGAAGGAGGTTCAAGATATGTTTTGATTGTTTTCAAATAATGATGATATTAAATGTTCTCGAATCCTCAAGGGCCGTAATCCCTGGAGATTTCTTGAAAAGGGTGTGATGAAATTTAAATGTGATGGTACCTTTGATTCTAATAAGGGTGTTGGTGGTACTGGGATTGTTCGCGGGGACAATGAAGGGAGATTCTTAATGGGTATCGGCGAAAAAGTGTCCGGCTCATCTGCAATAATAGCTGAGGCTTTAACTTAAAAAAGGCATAGCAGTGGCAAAAGATATGGGAGCTGCAAAGAATGTGCGTGGAAGGAGATTATGAAGTTTTGTTTAATGCCATAAACAGTAGTTATGTTGCAGGTTGCTATTGAAAATGCTCTAATGCTATCAAAGACGTTCAAAACTTTAGAAATTATGTGAAGACTTGTTCTTTCTCTCTACTTAGTAGAGATTGTGATAAGGCTGTGAATTTTTCTATAAATAAAACTAAAAAGAAAATGAAACTAGTTAGTATGATGTTTTCACATCAATCTACCTTGCATTGGATGCTGGATCTTTATAGAATTGAAGCTTTGAATTTTTTTTGCTAATGCCGGCACTGCTAAGTTTTGTAAAACAGGGGGATTGACATAATATATTTTTTATTGTTTTACACACACACACACACACAAGTGTAGATTGTTTTTCCTAATCGTCTTGTTCGGATACAAGAATGTGGACGAAATGTTTCCTCGTCGTTTTGGCATAGTCGTCCCGTATTCTTCTTTAGGTAAAGTCGAGTGGCCGAACCAAATTTCCTTGGGCTCCCAAATTTTCGTGAAATCGTCGTCAAATATTTTATTAAATGACATGACTCCATTTTAAAATATTACAAATTTATTTTATAATTAATAACTTTCAAAGAAGAAATCAACTGGCTGCTAAAAGAAAACAATTTATAACTTTCAAAGAAAATCTCATGCCAAAATACTCCATTTGTTTCATTATATTCTGTTTTAGAATTTTAAAAAGACTGATAACATAACTCCTAAACAATTGTTTTTTCCCCTAAAAACATGAATACAATAAAGGGGTGGGTTACTCCTGTTTTCGTGGTGCAGTTCTAACCCTCAAGGCTCAGGTCTCCACCCTAATGTATATTATTAAATTCAAAATACTAATAAGTACATTTATAATCTCAACAAAAATTATTATACATAAAATTAAGTCTAAAAAATAAATTTAAGTGAGTCTACAATAAATTTATAAAATTTAAACATTCAAAACCAATATCACAATAATATTATCAAAATTGTGTAATCAATTACAAGTATAAACGATAACCTTAACATTACCTGAAAAAATGAATCTTCAATATTCTGTCAAAACACACGAACCAGTATTAAAAATTAACTTACTAGCTATAGCAATTATTGAAATGCTAAGAATATCAACAATCACTCTTAAAATTAAAAATTGATATTAATTGTTCATTCACTAGTTTAATATATAATTCTTTTAAATTATGAGACCTAGTATTGATTCACCTAGACATCGAGAAAAATTATATACATTTGTATAAAAACCCTAATAATCTTGCATTATAATATGTAAAGAATTAAACAAATATTACTTAAATACTAATAAAATAAAATAAGATTAAAAACATTAATGAACTTAATTGACATGATATTTAAAACATAAATCAAATATATCATCAAAGGTAACTGTACTTGTCGATGAGATAGAAGTATAAGAAGCATTTGCTTTTTCTTTTTTTTTGCCCTTCTTACCTAACTTTTTAAAAAAAATATCCAGACTCAATTTTAGACTCACAGCTGATCTTTTTACACATGAAAATTCAGGATTTACATTCTATGCTCGTGACACCGTAAAGGTGATCTTGGCCCTTCATTTTATCTCAAAATAATCTTTACCATTAATTTAAAATAATTTATAAATATTATGTTTATAAAAATAAAAATTATAAAAAATATTATTAAATCTTGAGTGTCTAAAATATATATAAAGAGTCAATTTATAAAAATTATTTTTAATATTAAATTAGATTATTTAAATTATATCTGGACTGTCCAAAATATATTTGGATAATCAATTTATAAAAGATAAAAAAATTATATTAAATTGGACCATCCAAATTAAATATAAACTAATGAGATTAGTTATCAACAAATTTATTAAAAATTTAATCTTTTTTATGCATTTTTATCTTGATAAATATAACATAAAAATAAAATTTTAAATATGGATTGTCTAACTCTTATCAAGATTAGTGTGTATGAGTACTCATCATGTAATGAGCATCACGAGCAATCCAAATTTAATATGAAAATTTGTTATAGTTTTTATTTTCACAAATATAATATTTAAAATATTTAAAGATTAATTTAAAATTGATGACAGTGATCATTTTGGAATAAAATAAAGGATTAGGATCACCATTGTGGATGATGAGCAGGCCATGCTCATAAATGCGAATCCAAAAATTCATTTCTACTCTCTGATTCAACAATCCGGCCTTAATTTTTTTAGAGCTTTTTGTCACGGATGATATCTCCGTGACCGTGTAAAAACCAATATAATGAACGATCCGTTGGTTAGTCTAGCACAATATGAGTAAAGGGGGCGACATTGGCATTGGGTGCGTTCTGCCTTAGTCTTCGGACTAAGTGCACAACTGGTCGGGGGCTAGTACCGCCTCCCTGATGAGCCCATGGCAGGGCGAAACCAGTGTGATTCACATGTGGCAAGACTTGTCCTGAGGATTATGGGGTCCTCCAAGACGCCGCATGGGCGCCGTGTGCTGCGCCAGACTCTCAGCCCATGACAGAGTGGTATCAGAGCAGGACGTACTTTACTGCCATGTGCTTGTGGAGTCCCATGTTGGGACTAGTTGATCTCGGCACCGCTCCATAAAGGCCTCCGAGTAGGTGGGTCCAAAAATAGGGACTCAGGCGGAAAGGTTGGCCATGGTCGACTCCACTCCTGTTGGCTCGTGGGTGCGAGTGAGTCCAAAAAGTGCAGGACTCGGGTGGTCATTCAGTAGTAAGCTGATGTGTTTGTGGCAGTACTTGCACGTACGATCCTTGGGCGGAGTCTTTCTCCCCTAGCACGAGGGCGTGCTAGATTGGGTGTGGGAGAATGTCACGGATGATATCTCCGTGACCGGGTAAAGACCAATATAATGAACGATCCACTGGTTAGCCTCGCACAATATGGGTAAAGGGGCGACATTGGCATTGGGTGCGTTCTGCCTTAGTCTTCGGGCTAAATGCACAACTAGTCGGGGGCTAGTGCCACCTCCCTGATGAGCCCATCGCAGGGCGAAATCAGTGTGATTCGTATGTGTTAAGGCTTGTCCTGAGGATTATGAGATCCTCTAGGACGCCGCACGGGCGCCGTGTGCTGCGCTAGACTCTCAGCTCATGACATTTTGCTGGTCTTACTCTGCTGGCTCATTTAGCGGAGATTTGCGGATGATGTTGATGCAATCAATGACCAAAAGTGAAATGATAATAATAACACTGTTAAACATTCACTGCCTGTTTGGATATGTCATTATTATTGATTATCTGTCTGGAAACCACTTTTCCATCAAAATTATCCAAACACTCTTGTTTTTCCACAATTGATTATCTCACCTTAAACTACGTTTGGGCTTAAGCTGATCTCTCTGGCTTTTCAATATCAATTATTCAATAATACACGTTCAAGTATTCATTATTTGCCAGAATTTCTAAACTACCAAATACACCCGTTGCATTACGAGACTCATGGTAAATGGTGCTGTGTGATTTGTAGTGTCTTCCTCACATCCAAATATATATCTTTAGTCTTCATTTTGTTAAATAATCTTATATATGTCTGTTTCAAACATTTATCGTATATGTGATAAATAAATTTATAAGTATTAAATTATCAATATTATATTTTTAAAACAGATCAAAATAAATATGATAACATGGGAAAATTAATCACTTAGTTTCTATAATTTTAATCTAGTTATAATCTAATTTTTAAACTTTAATTTATTATAACTCGATTTTTATAGTTTTAACTCTATCGTAACTCAAGTCGTTAGTGTTTGCCCCTCTAATTTTAAAAAAAAATGGATTAAATAGAGCTTGAGAAAGATTATCACATCGATTAATATTTATCCTTACCATCATCCATAGAATTTTCATTAGATATGGTTGGTCTTCACATTGTCATTAGAAAATAACTTGTATATTATCAACCAAATATTTAGTTGTTGCAAAACCGATGTTTGATATCTAATAATTATTTCTTTATGCTTTATTAAATTAATTTAAACTTAGATATATTGACTTAATTTTTACATACATTAACTTATCAATGTCAATGTAATTTAAATTTTTATAATTAATCAAGTATATAAATTAAATAATATATTTTTCTTGTTAAATAAAATTGAACAAATTTATCAATATTAAATATATAATTTTATTGATATTTTAATTTTCAAACACAGTGTTCTCTATAATAATTTGTATATTTAAAATTAATTTTAACAAAATTATCTAAACATTTTTAATTTTATCAAAATTAATTTAAAAAAACAGTTTTCAAACGTGATAACATTATAATTATTATTATAATTAATTATATTAATTATTTTTTAATTAATTATAATCAATTGAAACCCAAACATACGCTTAAACCAATTGGATCACTCTGAACCTGAGGATAAGGACAAACGCTGATTGAGGACAGAAGTGGACAACCCGCCGACCCATCAGCGTTTTTGAGAGCCAGTACCCCTTCGATCCTTCTTATCCCACAAAATTCCTCACCAATCTATCTCCTCTCGCCCCGCCCATTGGATTTCACTGTTATGAAATTGTTTTCGGAATTTAGATCTTGTTACCGTCCGCATAACACTCCGGCATCGACGGCGCCGCCCTCCGACACCGATAGCCACCGCGTTCTGGATCCTGCTTCCCCGCGCAGCAGGCTCCAGCGCTCGCATTGGCGGCCTTCACTTTCGGTGATCATGGAGGATTCTGCGGATCAGCATCGCCGCACCAACCTTGATAAAAATAACAAGTCTGGGAAGAAATTGTCGGCTAAGCCCAGATCATCGCTTAACACTAGCTGTTCCTTTCACACCGACATCCGCCCGTAAGTGTATCGGTCGCTTGATTTCCCCTCTTTCGCTCGTCAGTAGATATGGTTAGTTGTTCTTGCAAATGATTTACTGTTTATTTCGTCGGGATAATTTTCAGGAGGAACTGCATCATGCCGCCGGTGATAGTAATCTCTCCATTCTCGGCTACACCGTACATGTTTTGAGCTTTGCCTCTCAGCCTTGTATATTCCTGCCACGCTATTTACTCACCGAATTTAGTTTTCCAATTTTGTTTGTTGGATGGAACATTGTTCTTGCCAGGGAGCCTCCCAATTGTGTGAATTTTTCTCTGAACAGTTCAGATCACTTTTTCAGTCTCTTTTCTTCCGTATCACTTTTTTTTTTTTTGGGGAAAAAAATATTTGAAGAACTTATATGTGCCCACTCTTTCTCCATAGACAGGAAAATCAGCCTCCCTTACCTGAAATTGTATGTATGTGTATTTTGTGAGTCATGATGGCTAAAGAGAGGTACTACTGAGCTTTAAAAAAAATTAACAATGTAACATTAAATTAAAAAATCTCTAAATAGTTTAAACTTATGTGAAAAAATATGTGGTACTGAAAAAATGATTTTGCGAGACGAATAGTTAAAAAATATTATCCTCTTGTTTTATGTAATTAATTATAATTAGATTTAATATTTCATTGAGTACGTATTCATTAATTAATTTGCGGTTCTTAAGTTTTAACTTTCTTATTGGGTAACCACGCCAATCCCTCCTCACTTTTACTTGTGTTCTCTCTTCTTTGTCTTCTCCGTCAGCACCAAACAACAACAACAACAACAACAACAAGCCTTTATCCCACTAGGTGGGGTCGGCTACATGGATTGCAAGACGTCATTGTGCTCTATCATTTATTAAGCTTTTAGAAATATTATTAATTAAGAGATCACGTTCAACAACTTCCAAGAGTGTTCTCTTAGGCCTTCCTCTACCTCTCTTAATCGGACTCAAAGTTATATGTTCCACTCTTCTCACTGGTGCCTCCCTTGGTCTTCTTTGTACATGCCCAAACCATCTCAACCGATTTTCTACCATTTTTTCCTCAATAGGTGCCACCCTCACTTTTTCACGTATGTGCTCATTTCGAATTTTATCTTTACGTGTATGTCCGCACATCCATCGTAACATTCTCATCTCTGCTACTCCAACTTTATGCTCTTGCTGTCCCGTTAGAGCCCAGCATTCACTACTATATAACATTGCCGGTCTGATAGCAGTACGATAAAACTTTCCTTTAAGTTTATTAGGCACCTTACGGTCACAAATAACTCCTTTAGCTTTTCTCCAATTAAACCACCCAGCTTGAATTCTATGTGAAATATCTCCACTGATTTCGCCATCATTTTGGATAATGGCTCCCAAATATCTAAACTTTTCCACTTGAGGTATAATTTGATCTCCCAATTTCACTTCCAAATTATTTTCGAATAGTCTTTTATCAAATTTACAATATAAATATTCCGTCTTACTTCTACTCAGACGAAAACCTTTCGACTCCAATGTCCTCCTCCATAACTCAAGTTTGCAATTAACCTCTTCTCTTGTCTCTGCTATAAGAACTATATCATCCGCGAAGAGCATACATTTCGGGATTTCCTCTTGAATATGTTCCGTCAAAACATTTAAAATCAAGTTGAACAAATAAGGACTCAGAGATGATCCCTGATGTAGCCCAATCTTTATAGGAAAATCCTTTGTTTGACCACTAGGCGTTCTTATACTAGTTTTTACCCCCTCATACATATCTTGTATGGCTTTAATATAAGCAATTCGTACTCCCTTTTTTTCCAACGCTTTCCAAAGCACTTCTCTTGGTATACGGTCATAAGCTTTTTCCAAATCAATAAAAACCATGTGTAGATCTTTATCTTTACAACGATACTTTTCCATTAATCCCCTTAGTAGATAAATCGCCTCTGTAGTTGATCTACCTGGCATAAAACCAAATTGATTCTCAGAAATACTTGTCTCCAATCTCAACCTGTGCTCAATTACTTTCTCCCACAATTTCATTGTGTGGCTCATGAGTTTAATCCCTCTATAGTTAGTACAATTCTGAATATCTCCTTTATTTTTATAAATAGGAATTAATGTACTTCTCCTCCACTCATCAGGCATTTTCTTGGACCGTAAAATCACATTAAATAACTTAGTTAACCATCTCACCCCTTCTTCACCTAAACATTTCCACGCTTCGATAGATATACAATCAGGTCCGTTAGCTCTACCATTTGCCATTTTCTTAAGAGCTTCCTTTACCTCCTTATCACGTATTTTTCGATAGAATGACAAATTTTGTTCTCCTTCACCAGTTACTAAATCCTCCAAGTTACTAGATGAATCCTCTCCATCATTGAAAAGTTTAGAAAAATAAGTCTCCCATCTATTTTTAATTTCATCATCTGTAACTAAAATTCTTCCCTCTTCATCCTTAATACACCTTACCTGTTCTAGATCTCTTGATTTTCTTTCCCTACTCTTGGCAATCTTATAAATATTTTGCTCTCCTTCCTTCGTCTCAAGGTTCTTATAAAATTCTTCAAAAGCTTTAGAACGAGCTTCACCCACAGCTCTCTTAGTTTCCTTTTTAGCCATACGGTACCTCTCCCAATTTTTCTCATTGTTACACAAATGTATGGCTTTAAAACAGTTCTTCTTATACTTGATTTTGTCCTGTACACTATTATTCCACCACCAAGACTCCTTATCTCTTGGACCAGGACCTTTCGATTCTCCCAAAACTACTTTTGCAACCTCCCGTATCTTTTTAGCCATATCCTCCCATATGATGTTAGCACTTCCCTGAGAATCCCAAATTCCTTTATCCAAAAGATTTCGCTTGAAAATATCTTGCTTCTCACCTTTTAATTGCCACCACCTAATCCTTGGTGTTACTACTTGTCGACGTTTTTGGATTTTACTCATAATACACACATCAAGGACTAGGACCCTATGTTGTGTCGTTACAGCATCTCCAGGGATCACCTTACAATTTTTACAAAGTTTTCTATCTGTGTTCCTAACCAAAAGAAAATCAATCTGCGACCTTGAGGCTCCACTTTTGTAGGTGATGAGATGCTCATCTCTCTTCTTGAAACAAGTGTTGGCAATCTTAAAATCATACGCCAATGAGAAATCAAGAAGAGTTTGCCCTTCATTGTTTAGCTCTCCAAAACCAAAACCACCATGCACCCTCGCATATTGACCAGCTTCCCTCCCAACATGCCCATTAAAGTCTCCTCCAATAAAAATCTTTTCATTCTGTGGTATGTGTCGAATCAACCCCTCCAGATCCTCCCAAAATAATTCCTTAAGACTGGCTTCTGTCCCGACTTGCGGCGCATAAGCGCTAACAATATTAACAGTCTCACGTCCAATTATCATTTTTAAAGAAATAATTCTGTCTCCAATTCTGCTAACTTCTACAACGTTCTTCTTCCACTCCTTATCTATAATGATGCCTACTCCATTGCGTGCACTTACTTTTCCTGTATACCAAAGTTTGAAACCTTGAATATCCTTAGCTTCTTCTCCACGCCATTTTGTTTCTTGCAAGCAAAGGATATTGATTTTCCTTTGAATCATAACCCCTACAACCTCTACAGATTTACAATTTAATGTCCCAACATTCCAAGTACCAAATCTAATTTTGCTCTTATGGACTAACTTCTTTAGCCGCGTGCGTCCAGAATGACGCGGTAGCCCTTGCTCATTTAACACTACATCCGGGCGCCGATGCAGCGGCTCTAACTCACTTATCACTGTACTCGAGCCATGCAACGCGTTACTTACGGGCAACGACCTAGCATTAAAAGGTGTTAAATGAGACGCAACAATGGGTTACATCACGCGGGTCTCAAGGCATGCTTAAACTGTTGACCATTTTGTGTAAGCGTGTTTTAAGAGGCGAAGGGAAGAAGTTCAAATATCGCTTATCTCCTGAACTGTCGCGTAGGAAAAGACGCGAAAATATTGAATGCTACAAGAGATTCTCTTTGTGAAGGATTCATTCTACGCGATAAATGTAGAAACAGTGTTTCTAAAGTACCCAGTTAAACCATGGGAATTAAACCCCTCGAAATTCCCATGCTTTCTCATCAACCGCATCTACGTATAATATTCAACCGGATCATCGAGTGATTGGGCTTTTCCCCTCTGCTTTAAGTAACTCCAAGAACCGCGTCGTCACTCCAGACTAATCAAAATGTAACAAAAGACTAGCAAAGCGTCATTCTGGGTTACCATTTCAAATGGTTCATTCCAAGTTCAAACGAGGTTTTAGAATCTATTATGAATATTGAAGGAGTCAATATTCACCCTGGTTCTTTCTGATCTTAATACTCAAGTCGAGCACCTCTGAGAGTTGGAAAGGAAATTTCTTCATTGGCTGCCCATTGACTGAGAGCTGACCATCCAGTTAGACTCTAACCAGGCAGAGAGTCTAACTGGATGGTCCTCATATTTTGTTATTTCATTCACGTGTCTAAAGTATCCTGCATGTACCGATGTGCTGTGACATTGGATTCCGTGAAGGAAAGACATGATTGAATGATCAAATCCCATCTATAGACGAACAAAGCTGCCGTTGGTACGCAGTGCGCCGATCAAAAACAGATTGAGTTGATGTATTTGGTGATAAGTGGTGAAATTCAAAATAAACATAGAGAGCGTGAATGGAGCGGAGGGGAGACAGAAAAATAAACGCGTTTATGACTGAGTGTCCTGGACGTGAAACGCCAGAATCATAACAGCTGTTATCTTTTATCCATTTTAATTCTGACCTCAATTTCTTCTCTGCACTTTGCATCTCTTTCTTCGAAGGCAAGGGGCATATATCGAGCCAAGTGAAAAAAAGAGACAGTGAAGAAAGGGGGCCGTCGCAGGAGTTAGTAGCGAAATATTATTGCCACATTGTCGGTCAAACTGTGAGGGAAAATGACACGTGGGATTGAACATGAATTGTTTGGTCTCTATTTTGACGGAGTTAGCAACAAGGAAAAGATCGAAACTAAAAATAAAATGAAGGACAAAAGTAAATTCTGGGGGTTCTGCTGTCTTTCTTTATAACCAGAAGGACCACACGGAGTATCGAAGCATGTTCAGCCCGGACTTGCCCAAAATAAAAGCCCGAATCAAGATTCTCGATTCCAAGCCCATGCATGCTCCCCAACACGAAGCTTTCGATTGGCAGACCCAATGGATCCTCCAAACTAGTTGGAACTGTAAGAGGAAGGAACTGCAACGGACTGCATGGCTTTATGGTCTATCCTTGATGCTCAAATAAACTTGCGTTACCTTGAAGGGTCCGTTTGATATGAATATTAGGAGACGCCTTGTGAATTGTGATCGGCCTCCTTCTTGCATGGATTTTAAGACAACCTCGGGGGGGGCTGTTATATATTTCCCTCATGCCTCGTTAATTATTTATGGCCCTGAGCTTCAAGAAAAAACGAGAGGGATGATTAGAAGCCGTGTTTGGGCTTCTCTATCTCAGAGCGTTGTTCTGCAAAGAGGTTCTCGGGAGCGTAGTTCCTCCGATCCTCTGCTTTTTAACCCCCCAACCCGCCCCCAAAAATAGTGCTTCTAGGTTCTAAATTCTAACTGCACACTTGTTCTTGAATTCGTTCGGCATTGTGTCTTGGTCGAGTGAATTTAATAGTAGTTAATTTTAAAAGTTTGCAAACGTTTGAATTGTAAATATTAATTATGACAGTTATAAATATGGGAGTTTTAATTGTAAATCAGTTTTTTTGGGCCAAAATATGATTTTATCCCAAATACAATTATTTTGGCTAAAAAGAATAATTTTGGTTAAGTCCACTAATGTTATAGTTGGATACACATGAATTTGAATTTGAATTTACCCCAAATTCAAATTCAAATTCTCCCTCAGTTTCTTTAAAATTTAAAATCTTTTTTAAAAATCTATTATTTCAAATTCTACCTTAAACTCTTTTATAATTTAACCCAAATGCATGAAGGTTTGATCAATCTACCAATGATAATTCGACTGAATTGCTAAAGTTGACGAAAACAAGTTGTCATTGTTGATTAGGGACCGAGTTGGCAGAGACCGCGGGGACTAGACGACCAACTTCCACTAGGACCGAACTGGCAGCAATAATGGGGACCGGATGGCTGACTTCTGTCAAAATTGGACCGACGGTGATGACAGGGACTAAACGGCTGACTTCTATTGGGATCGGATCTGCCGCAACGATGGGGATCGAATGACCAACTTCAATTGGGATCGAATTGATGGGGATTGCATTGAGGGGGACAACAGGAATTAGATAGCTGACTTCTACTTGGACAAGACCGAGGGGGATGACGAAGATTGGATAGCTAACTTTCATTAAGATCAGATTGAGAGGGATGACGAGGACTGGATAGTTGACTTCCAATTGGGACTTGATAGATAGTGATGATAGGGACCGATCAACCGACTTCCACTGTGATGAGATTGACGGCGATGACCGAACAAGATAATTGACTTCCACTAGGACCAAAGTGATGGCGACGACTGGGATCGAACTGACGATGATGAAGATGACAATAATTGGACAACCAACTTCTATTGGAACCGTATTGATGGTGATGATGAGGATCGAAAGTCTAACTTCCATTGGGTGAGGACTAAACAGCCACCTTCTGTCCTTATCGCCTTCAATCTGGTTGCTGCCAGTTCAATCCTATTAGAAATCAACCGTTCGATCTCCGTCGTTGTCATTGGTCCGGTCCGTGTGAAAGTTGACCGTTCGGTTCTCGTCATTGCCGTTGGTCAGGTCTCAGTGGAAGTTAGCCTTCTGATCCTCATCTTCCCCCTCGGTTCGGTCCCTGTGGAAATCGATCGTCCGATCCTTGTCGTTCCCCTTAGTCCGACCCCCATCGTCTCTGTTGGTCCAGTCTTTATTGTTGCCATCGAGCTAGTCCTGGTGGAATCCAGAGGTCTCATCCTAATCGTCATCGCTATCACAATCCTAATTGACTTTGTTTGTCTGATCCCGTTGGAAATTGACCATTCAAATCATTGAATTTGACCAATCTTTTAAATTCAAATATGATTTTAAAATTTAAAATTTTACTTTAGATCTAACCAATGAATTTTAATATTGTAATTTGAAATTTTTTATATTGTCCAAATAAAGAATTTAAAATTCATGAATTTTAAAAGTGATATTTCAAATATGAGATTTTAAATTTAAATTCCCAATTTCTCTACTAAGTGTGAGTGGGAGATGTTGGGTTATCCATTCTTAGTGAATCAAGTTCATGTATATAATAAGCCCAAATTGAGGAATGAGTTTTTGTCACAATTATAAAAAATGCTTGGATTCAATGTGCAATTTACTTAGGGTCTTAAATGCATTTTTCTCCATTTTTAACCTTTGAATTTGAGAGGGAACAATTTCTCAATTGCATTAGCACACATTTCTCATTTGGTTATAGGAGTAGTTCAAAAACTTCTTGGTTAACAAATTGAAGCCAATAACTCGCACTCTCATACTTCCTTCATTTTCTCATCCTCTCTATGTGCATTTGTTGTGCATCCAAACAAAGTTCAACCTCATATCTTTGTTTCTGCATACGTCCGTGCAAATCAACCATTGCAAGTATGTATTCCTTCTTAGTTTCTTACACTAATAAACTCAATGGTGAACTTTTGAACAAAAGTGGAAGTGTGATGCCAGATAATGTATAGCTAGACAAACATCATAATGAAATGGGGATATTGTTATCATTCTCTAAGCCAAGGCTTCAACAATCAAACAGTTTTTAAGGATATTTTAAACATATTAAACCAGTTAACATTTTTGAAAGTCAATTTAATTTAAATCAAATTACAATAAATCAAACAATCCAATAGATAGTAAACACTAAACCTTATTTATAATGGTTTTATCTACGTTCTTTTAAATTACTCAATTTAATTAGTTCTATCATGTTTTTATGAATATCTTTCAGCGTTGCTTGTGAATTAGCTTACAGAAATCAAACCACTTAAATCTCAATTTTGTAAAGTTTGTACCATGACGTTGATTCAGCTCCAGTGCTCAAGATAGTACGGATTGGTTTGCTTTTGCTTCACAAGACACAACTCATCCGCATTACGAGGAGACGAGTACATATATTCATTTATGCGCGGACTTTTTGGCCCATACTCAGCAATATAGTTATATGCGTTCAAAAGCCATACAAGCTAAATTGCGCGAGATTCATGTTCATTCTTTCCATGTTCACCCAGTTTGCCTAGAATCACATAATAACAACTTCTGTTCTCTTTGCTTTTTGTTTGCTCTGACTTTGTTGAATGGCTGCTCAGCCTTCGCCAATATGCGCGTGCGCGTTTGAATTGAGCTGAACTAACAATAATAAATAGACCAGCGGGAGGATTAAGGGGGGCCAAGTTCCATGCTAGTGCTGTCTGGACATGACTGACTGATTAAGCAGCTCCCTTGGGCCAGCTCTGCGACTCTCGCTAGAAAGCCTTCTCTCAGTTCGAAGGGCATTTTCGTATAAGCGGGATTATTTCTCGAGTTATCAACAAGAAAAACACCAACTATACGTAAAGGCGGAAAAAAAATTTGACACGAAGGTCGCCCCTTTCAATAACAAACCAAAACGAGAACACACATATATAATATCGCAGGGAAGAGGCGCCACAGACAAGATGTTCTAAAACGTTTAGGGGGGGGAGTGACACAGGATTATCAAGGACTATAACTTTTTATGCGATTCGCGATCTGGGCTTGCTGAACTTTCTTCTCCTGTTGTTCAATTTTCAGCGGCCGGGATTTGTCGTGCCGATCTGTTTCTTCACTTCGCTAATTTTCTTGGTAGTTTTCTCGTCCCCTCTTCCTTCTTGCTTTCAATTGTATTTCCTGATTTTTAATGGGGCTGCGTCCTGGGTTTAATTCAGCAGGTTTCATTGCGCGGGGTTTCATATTTATTCGTATGCGTCTGTATCCACTTTATCTCTATAAACCCCGCATTTAATTTGGTTCAGATTTGTGTTCTATGTTTTCTTCTGAATTTTTGGACTTTAGGGTTTTGAACTTGGGCGCCAATTGAGGAGAGCTGAAGCATTTGCAGTATGAGCATCGACAGCCCCGGGACAGGGGAGAATTAGGGTTTCGAGCTTCCAACAAGACGTGAGACTTCCATGGGCGATGGAGGCGTCGCATGCATGCCTTTGCAGCAGCAGCATATTATGGAGAGATTGCCGAATGCAGAAAAAACGCTTTGCGGAGGCACAAATGGGAATGGTTTCAATTCTAAGTTGCTCAAGTTTGCTGACAGTGATCGGAAGAAGAAGATGAAGGCGAAGAAAGAAGAACCAGCAAAGAAATTTCAGGTGGAAAGAAGTGAATTGGTATCGGATGGGGGAGACAAGAGCAACGATGAACTTGAGAATGACGAAACATACGTGGAAAAGGTACAAAAAGAAGAGATGGAAGAGGGTGAATTGGGCACTATGAAGTGGTCAAGAAATGACCTGGAAAATGGAGAATTTGTGCCAGAGAAGCCACGGAGAGGTGAAATGGAGAATGGAGAGATTGTTACTGGGAAATGTAAAAAAGGAGAGCTGGAGAAGGGAGAGATTGTTTATGGAAAATGGAGAAGAGAAGATGTGGAAAAGGGAGAGATAGTTCCGGAGAGGAGCAGGAGAGGAGAGGGTGATAAAGGGGAATGTGGCTTGGGTAAAGGTATTATAGACGACATTGAGAAGGGAGAAATTATTCCTGATAGATGGCATCGAGGAGAAGTTGGAAAGGATGATTATGCTTACGGCAGAATGCGCAGGTATCAATCAGGCAGGGAGAAAGGGTGGAAAAGTGAACGTGAACGCACGCCACCTTCTGGAAGATATACAGGAGGTGATTATATTAGAAAGAAAGAATTTAATAGAAATGGGAGCCAGCATGCCAAGAGTGCTCCTCGATGGGAGAGTGGGCAAGAGAGGAATGTAAGGATTAGTTCAATGATCGTGGATGAGGAAAAAAATGAACATAGCAATGGGAGGAACCATGCTCGGGAATACTCTGTGAGTAGTCGGTTGAAGCGGCATGGTAATGATTCAGACAGCAGTGAGCGCAAGCATTATGGAGATTATGCTGGCTTAAAAAGTCGAAGGCTTTCTGATGAAAGCTGCCGCCCTCTTCATTCAGAGCACCATTCTCATCGCTCTGTCGAGAGGTCTTTTCGAAATTCTTCATCAAAAATATCAGCAGACAAGTATTCTCGGAATCATGAATCTTCTTTACCTACCAGGACAACTCATGACAGGCATGGACGTAGCCCTGGTCATTCTGAGCGATCTCCACGTGATCGTTCCAGGTATTATGATCATAGAGATCGTACTCCAGTTCGTCGTGACAGATCCCCACATGGGCGTGATAAATCTCCATATATTCGGGAGAAATCCCCCCATGGCCGTGACAGATCTCCATATATTCGAGAGAAATCACCCCATGGTCGTGAGAAGTCGCCATATGAAAAGATTTGGGATAGAAGCCGGTACAATGATCATAAAATAAGAAGTCCAACTCATGCTGAGTCCCCACAAGACAGACGTCGGCATCATGATCGTAGGGATCAGACACCAAATTTGGGTGAACAACCCCCCTTAGATCGACCTAGGCTAAATAGCATTCGAGAAAACAATTCTAAAATGATATCAAGTGAAAAGCATCACTCACCGCATAGTTGCAAAGATCATGAGGATAAGCACATGCATAGGGAGTCAGATTGTTCTGGTACAGATTCTCATGGTGAAAAGAATTTGCCTGATGTAAATGGGTCTATTGAGAGAGACAACAGTGAGAAGCCTGGAAAGGAAAAGCAGTCCTGCAGCCCTACTGTAAGCTGCAAAGAATCTCCCTGCATTGAGCTACTTCCAGAAGAGCTGCCTTCAATGGAGGAAGATATGGACATTTGTGATACTCCTCCACATGTTCCTGTGGTGTCTGATTCGTCTTTGGGGAAATGGTTTTATCTTGATTATAGTGGTGTAGAGCATGGGCCTTCGAAATTATCTGACATCAAGGTTCTTGTTAATGAGGGCATACTGATGTCTGATCATTTTGTCAAGCACCTAGATAGTGACAGGTGGTTAACAGCTGAGAATGCAGCATCACCATTGGCAACACATGGTTTTCCATCCATTGTGTCGGACTGCATAACTCAGCTTGTAAGCCCTCCAGAAGCTCCTGGTAATCTTTTGGCTGATACTGGAGATATCCTTCTATCTGGACCTGAGACTTTTCAGCAGATGCCAGCTCCTTTGCTGCGGCCAATATGCCCTGATGACATTGTGGTTTTATCTGAAACTTTAGAGGAATTCCGCATTGATGAAAGGGTTGGAGTTTTGTTAGAGGGTTATGATGTAATTCCTGGGAGGGAGCTTGAAGCAATAAAAGGTATTTTGCTCTTTCAAAAATATTCTATGCGGTTTCTCTATGTATGAAGTTTTTCTTGAATACTACAATTTATATAATTTTTTTGTTTTTTCAGAATTTGATCTTTCTCAACATGTCATATTTTATTTATTGTCTTGCAGAAGCTTTGCAAATGAATTTTGAATATGCGAATTGGGAGGGATTGGGTGACTATGAAGGTACGTTATTGCTATACATTGCTTGCCCCTGTTCACTTTTTAGAAATGTTTTGTCTTTATTTGTCAATTATGAATTCTGAGTTTCTGATAATTTATATTTATTTGAAGCTGATATCTTTTTTTTCCAAAGGAGCCATATAATTATTAGTTTGAGTAAGCCACGTTTGAAGAGTTGCTCTCTCTCTCTCTCTCTCTCTCTCGTGTTGTATTCAAATGGTTTGTTGGTCCTTTTTCCTCCTGATTTTTTAACTCATTTTAGTAAAATTCAGTTGACCTCTAGTGATATTGAGGTGGTCTTGTTGAAGTTTTCAGTTATGGGTGTTTTGACTTGGTCTACAGAAGTTTCCTTTAGTAGTTTTGAATATTGCAAGTTTTTACATGTGTTTTCTTGATGTCGATGGATCTTGGTTAGGTGGTCAATGAAAATTGGAACTTGTATTATCTGTAATTTACGTGTATTTTAATGAAACACATGATTTATTCATATGTAAAATCCAAATTGTTATTGTAGGGTGTTGATCAGTGATTGTTTATAATTCATTTAATATTTCATAAATCATTTTAGTTTTGGAACTTTCATCCTTATGTTCTTTGTGCCTGAATTTTCCGTTTGAGTCAATCGCTTTATTCATAGTCAGTCATTTAATCTGGCTTAGTATGTCATGTTGGCCTTAAATTGATGAAGTGACATTATAGACTTCAATGTATTTGAAAATGGGTTTTGCAAGCATATTAGATGAATAATATTTTAAATCATACATTTGGACCCGTGAGTATGGAACTTGTGATTTTGCTCATCATATTATGTCTCAGAACTTAATTTGTAAATTTACGTTTACTTTTCATCTGGAGAATTAAAAGGTAAACATGGTGCACCTAGAGGCATGCACCTCATGGAGAATTTTTTCTGTATGTTTAGGCTTTCCTTGGCATGATAATTTTCCGAGAGAAGAATGTGATTCAAGAACTGATTTTGCATCAAGGGACCCTGACAGTCAGTCAAGCGTGCTCTTTGACAAGGACAACGGAGTTGCCTTTGGTGATTGGTTTTCTGGCCGATGGTCATGCAAAGGTGGTGACTGGAAGAGGAATGATGATGTTCAAGATAGATCTTCTAGGAAGAAACTTGTCCTAAATGATGGGTTTTCATTATGTGAAATGCCTAAATCTGGATGTGAAGATCCTCGCTGGCCTCAAAAGGATGACTTGTATTATCCTTCTCAAAGCAGGAGGCTTGATCTCCCTCTTTGGGCCTTTTGTGCTGAAGAGAGGGCTGACTGTAGCACTGCAAGCAGAACAGCTCAAACTAAATCCTTTTTGGCTAGAGGAGTAAAGGGAAATGTTCTTCCAGTGGTAAGAATAAATGCTTGTGTGGTCAATGACCAGGGATCATTGGTTTCTGAGCCACGACAAAAAATCCGAGTTAAGGACAGACATCATTCAAGGTCTACTCGCCCATTCTCTTCAAGCAGTGATAGCAAGAGATCATCAATTGAAGAGGATTCTCAGTCAAAAGCCATTAGTGATCAAATTTCTTGCCTGAACACGGAAATTGTCAACACTTCCAAAGACCGTCTCTGTACAGTCCATGACTTACAGTTACATTGGGGTGACTGGTATTATCTTGATGGTTCTGGGCGCGAAAGAGGGCCTTCATCATTTTCAGAGCTTCAGGCTTTAGTAGATGAAGGAATTATAAAAAAACATAGCAGCGTTTACAGGAAATGGGATAAACTATGGGTTCCTGTTACATCTGCTGCAGAAACTTCTGATGCCAGTCTCAAATGCCACCAAGAAAGTAGCTCAACAGCTGGAAAATGTTCTGGACTTCCATTGTTGCAAACTCAAGTTGTGTCATTCAATGAACCTTGTACAAATATCAGTTTGTTAGACCGTCTGCATCCTCAGTTTATTGGTTATACTCGTGGGAAGCTACATGAATTGGTAATGAAATCATATAAGAGCCGGGAGTTTGCTGCAGCTATAAATGAGGCTTTGGATCCCTGGATCAATGCAAGACAACCAAAGAAAGAGAATGAAAAGCAATTATATTGGAAATCAGGTAATGGCTAATTTGTTTTATTAGTTTACAGCCATCCTGTGTTCTATTTAACTGCAATGTTGGCTGCGCTGCCTTGCACAGTTATGCCTTGCCCTTTTCCCCCAAATCATTTGTTACCGAATCTTTATATCATCTCCCTTTTTTGTCTCTTTAGTTTTGCTTTTGAGAAAACTTGGGGCCTGTTTGGTATGGGGAGGGAAATGGTCAACTGGAATCCATTTTCCTTGAACCAAAAAAAAAATAAAATTTCAATTTTGTTTTGGTGGGACCAGGAGTATTACAAACTTATTATCTTAGCAGCATCCATCCATTTATATTACTTTTAATTTTTTGACGCAGTGGCACATTTATTTCTTATTTGCAAAATCACCCTTTTCAGTTCATCTTTCTCACCATTCTGTGTATTGCCTTTTAGCTATTGTTTACTTAGTTGTTTGTTCACATATATCTATGTGTATATGATAGGACCAATTCCAATAACAGATGAAAAAAGAAAATAACAGCAGATTAATAAAGAGAAATTCACTGGGTATCCTCTACTGTGAAGGGAAAATTTAGAGAATACAACCATGAATAAGGTCTCGCTCACAAACTCCTATCTCTAACCTTCAAACAATAACGGAGAACATAAAGAACCCTCCCACAGCCTGGTTTTCGAGAGACTAGGCCCTCTCTACTAAGATTATACTACTGCCTACCTCTACTCTGTCTTTCCCCGCCCCTTTTACATCCTCCACTGCCCTGACAGTGTCAGGTGTCGTTATTTACTGTGTTTTCCCCATTCTGCCCTTACCCGCTCTACTCTTGGGTATTTCCTTTGGGCCTCCTTGTGTAAACACAGCCCCACTTGTTGGGAAGCCCAACATTCCCTCCCTCTGCAAGCGACACCTTGTTCTCAAGGTGAAATTGTGCCTTAATCATTTCTGCATCTTCCCTAGTATTTTCATGGTCTAGTAAATCTATCCACTTGATTAAAAGCTGAAGCTTCCCATTGCTGGCCTCCCTTATTTCCTTGATCTCCTCCAGCTGAGCTTACAGTTCCAATTCTTCTGTGAGATCTTAGGGAGGGGCTGTGCAGTAACTGAGGTTTTTAGAGCCTTTTTCAGCCGAGAGATGTGGAATACATTGTGTATCCGAGCTGCTGCAGCTAACTTCAGCCTATATGCCACCTTTCCAACCCTCTCCAAGATCTTGTAAGGCCCGTAAAACCTGGGTGACAGCTTCTTGTTTGGCTTTTTAGCTAAGGATTTGTACCTATATGGTTTCAGCTTGAGGTAAACAAGATCCCCTACCTTAAATTGAACTTGGCTTTGATTCTTTTCCGCTGGATTCTTCATCCTCACTTGAGCCTTTTCAAGTTGTCTCTTGAGTTCATGCAGAATCAGATTTCTTTCCTGAATTAACTCATCCACTGCTTGAACATGTGAAGGCTGGTCCTTCCATTTTGATAGTGTAGGAAGGTCCCTCCCATATAGAACCTTGAAAGGAGTGGTCTCGGTAGTGCTGTGATAGGTAGCATTATACCAATATTCCGCCCAAGGTAACATCTTAGACACTTCTTAGGGGTATTTCCAGCCAAACACCTCAAGTAAGTCTCTAAAGTTCTATTAACCATCTTGGTTTGACCATCAGTTTTGGATGATAAGAACAACAAAACTTGAGAGGGAGAGGGTTTCCAGCCAAGCTGAAGAGTTCTTTCCAAAACTGACTTGTGAAGACACAGTCTCTATTGGATACAATGGAGTTTGGGATCCCATCCAGTTTAATGACCTTTGATCAACAAATCAGCCACTTCTCTTGGGCTTTAGGGGTGCGAGAAAGAAGGAAATGCCCATATTTGGTTAAGCGATATACCACCAAGATTGTGTCAAATTGGGCACTTTTGGGTAGCCCCCCAACGAAATCCATACTAACATCTTCCCATGACGCTTGAGGAATCGGCAAAGGTTGCAAAAGTCTGGCTGGACTGAGTGCTGCATATTTGTTGTGGTGAATATCCATCCTCATACCTCCCCAAAATACCGTTGCAGCAAGACACTTGTAAGTTCTCAAATGCCAAATGCCCTCCTGTGGGTGAATCATTAAATTCCTTTATCAACTTTATGAACTCTTTGAATTTTCTGGGAGTTTTTGGATAGCACAAGCCTCCCTTCAAAATAAATTACCCCTTGCTTTCACGGCATACCCCTTTTGGTGCTTCCTTCCCTTCTATAAGTTGCAACATAATCTCATGCAGGCGTGCATGCTCTGAAATTTCAGCAACTAACTCATCATTTCCCTCATATTGCCACATGGATATGGCTCTCAATTCCATGCCTACATCATGTTTGGACAATGCATCGGCCACATGATTTTCTCTACCAGGCTTGTATTAGATCTGGAATTTTATGTCCCATAAGTTGGGTCACCTGCTTTTTCTGATCAGGTGCTAATATTTGCTGGTTGAGGAGATACTTGAGGGCTTTCTAGTCCGTTTTTATAATAAATGGCTAATTGGACAGGCAGTGTTGCTACTTTTTGACCACTAGAACGGTTGCAATTAACTCCCGTTCATAAACAGAATTTTGCTGGTATTTTTCAGATAATTTCTGCCTCAAATATGCTATTGGGCGTCCCTTCTGCATCAGAACAACCCTTACTCCTTTTCTCAAAACATTTGCTTCTACCTTAAGTGATTAGCTAAAGTCAGGCATTGCCAAGACGAGTAAAGTGGTTGTGGTAGCTTTGAGATCTTTAAAGGAATCTTTTTTAAGTAGATGAGTCAGTGGAGCTGCTATCCGATTGTACCCCTTCACAAACTTTTGGTGATACCCCGTGAGACCAAGAAACCCCCTCAATGCCTTCAAGTTTTTTGGTTCTGGCCATTGCTACATTGCTGTGATTTTTGAAGGACTTGCTTCCACTTCTTCAATAGATATGATGTGACCCAAATACTTGATTTGAGTCCATTCGAGCACTTTTTTTTGAGCTCATCAATTGATGTTGCTCACGCATGACTATATCTGTATGGCGTTGTGCTTGCAGGTTGCGAACCCTCTTTTATCGTGTTAGCATGATCTTGGGTGCATCTTGGTGGTAGCCCTTTGATAGGATTGCAAACTATAGGGAACTCTTTTAAGTTTCTTGGCCTACTCTCCTTGCACAATTGGTTGAGTCACTTCCTCATGCTGCTATAGTGATGCTAATTCAATGATGTATCCCGCCCCTGTCTTTCTAATTGTCTTCTTGATCGATCTAAAAGAAGCTTGGGATTGAGTCAAGGAAGGGTCCCCCTTGAGGCATGCCCATTGTCGCCCCACCTTGACCTTCATATGGAGTTGTCTCCAATTCGTGCGTGTTTCCGCAGGTGACTCCAACCACTTAACTCCCAACACTAAATCCACGTTGCCAAGATTAAATGGATAAAAGGATTGTTTGATTTGGATGCCCTGTATATCTAACTCCATTATAGGACATTTTAGGTTCAAGACAACCTTCCTTCTATCCCCAACAGTGATTGCATACCTCCTAACGAATTGAGAGGGAATTTGGAGTTCGTTGACCAGTGTAGTAGCCATGAAGTTATGTGTGGCACCACAATTGATGAGCATCGAGATCTCATGCCCTTGTGTCTTCCTCTTCATCTTTTGCGTTCTTTTGCTTATCAATCCCATTGCTGGAGTCATCGACAACTCAAGGGATGTGGGTTCCCCTTCTTTGTTGGTCTCCTCACTTTTGGGCACTGTTGCCTCCTTCACATAGGCCCTCCTCTTCTTCATCCAACACAATAAGCCTGAGTTGTTTTGCATTTATGGTTTGGGCCAAACTTCTCACATTTGAAGCATAGGCCCAATTTGCATTTGCTGTTGATTTTTGCCTTTGAGAGTCTTTTTTGTGGAACCACGCTACTACTACTGCTGATCGATGAGGTATTAGGCCTCACCGTCTTTAGCTGCGATGTCTTCATTTCTTAACTAGTCTTTTCCCCTTGCGTTTTCATCCTAGCAGGTGACCCCAAGTTTTGAAGTGTCTCGACAACACTAAATTTAGGGGTTAGGATGTTGATGTCGCTCTATTGATTGCCCAGCATTATCTTCACGGATTTGCTTCTCTTTTCCTCTATTACCTTTTCCTTAATTCTATTTCTACCTCCACCTGCCTTACGTAATCCATGAGTTCCTTTACACTCTTGGGATTCATTAGTCGTATATGAGCCTTGATTTCTTCATTGTGACCATTCAAGAAGGCTCCCATTAGCATCTCTTTGGGTACTATGGCTATGTGAGACAAAATTTGTTCAAATTCCTCCTTGAATTTAGCCACTGTTCCTTCTTGCTTGAGTACTAAAAGACACTCATGTTCCCTACTGAGTTGTGTACAATGAAACCTGTTAGTCACTTCCATTTTGAACTCCTGCCATGAATCCACAAGGGTGGGCATTTCGAGTTATTGGAACCATGCCAAGGCTTTGCCGTTCAAACTCACCATGTTGGCATCTAATTTCTTTGTTTCTCCAACACCATTCACCGTGAAATACTGTTCCACCTTGAAAATCCATTGTAACGTGTCCTTGCTGTCAAGCAGAGGTAGCTTGAGTCAACGGTGCTTAAAGCCTTCGTTCTGTCCTATCTCTTCATGTTCCTTGGTATTGAAAACCTTCGTGTCTCTAGTTTCATTCCTTGGCTTGTTCTTTGATAGTGGTGAAGGTGGTGGGTTGGCAGCTTCATACGCCTCCTTGAACTCCTCCAATTGCCGTAAGATGAGCGTCGTAGAGGTTTCAACATTGGTAAGTTTTTCTGTGTTTTCCTCTTGTTTCCTTTGCAGCTCTTTAACAGCTTGTTCCAAATGCTCAACACTCCCCTCCTTTCTAGTATCAACTATACCCCAGAGCAGCCCGCTCTAATACCAAAATGATAGGACCAATTTCAATAACAGATGAATAGAGAATAATAGTAGATTAATGAAGAGAAATTCACTGGGTATCCTCTTTATGAAGGGAAGATGTAGAGAATACAACCACTAATAAGGTCTCACACAGAGGCCTATCTCTAACCTTTGAACAAGAATGGGGGAACATAAAGAACCCTCTCATAGCCTGGTTTTTGAGAAACCACGTCTTTGTCCACTAAGATCATACTACTTCCTTCCTCTACTGTGTCTTTACCCACCCTTTTTACGCCCTTCACTGCCTTGATAGTGTCAGGTATTGTTATTTACTGTGTTTTTCCCATTCTACCCTTGTCTACTCTCCTCTTGGGTATTTCCTTTGGGCTTCCTTGTGTAAACACAGCCCTACTTGTTGGGAGGCCCAACAATATACATTTTTTTGTCGTGTTTGTCGTTATCCAAATTTGAAAATTTCCACATTATGAAAAAAATCTTAAGAGTGCTTGTTCACCCACGATGTTTCTAAAATTGACTAATGATATTTGGTTTTACTCATGATTATCATTTTCAATATGTGATTGATAATAGAGTACTGTGCTGAGTTGCTCTTTGTGTAAATTATTCATAATTTGTACTCTCTCTCTGGTCCATAGTATAAGGCATCTTCTGAAAAAAAAAAAAATTGGTGGCCCTTAATACAAAACACTCAGTAGGGTATTAATTACATTTCTCCAATATTACCCCTATTTAAATTCATTAATTGTGAGACATAATGTGATGCAAATTTGAAATTTTTTCATTTAAATATGGGTAAAATTGGAAGTTTATTCTTTTTTTGAACTAAGTTAATGACTTAACCACTTGTCTTTAGTAAGGTGGTTAGAAATGCTTTATAATAAGGGCCAGAGAGAGTATATGTTTATATTCTATCTTCTTGCATATTCTGGTGTAATCTATTTATTTATGTTGCATTAAATGCTTGGTTTATGTCTTTAAAACTCTTTTAGTTATAGTGTGTCGGCTTTATTTCCCTTTAGAGTATTTTTCTATCTTGACCTGTATGAATGCAGTTTAATGGCTAGCAAATTTGCCTCCAAGGCTCAAACCAATATTTGTGGCTTCATTGTCTCGCACACTTATGGGTTCTATATGTTGTAAGGGACTATCCTAGATGATTTCATTCACACAGTCTCTTGATTAACTTCATTTTTTATTTTTCTGGGTGGCATTGTGTTTTGGATGCTGTAAACTTCAGAAGGTGATGCACGTGCCGCCAAAAGAGCTCGTATTCTGGTTGATAGTACTGAAGAAGACAGTGATATGGAAGATGGTTTGACTGTCCTGAGGAATGAATCCACTTTTGATGACCTATGTGGTGATGCTGCTTTCCATGAAGACGAAAGTGGTACAGCTGATTTTGAAGTGGGGAGATGGAGCTTGTTGGATGGTCATGTGTTGGCACGAGTTTTCCACTATTTAAGATCTGATTTTAAGTCCCATGTGTTTGCTTCGTTGACTTGCAAGCATTGGAGAGCTGCTGTCATGTTTTACAAGGAAGTTTCAAGAGAGGTCAATTTGACATCCTTGAGTCATTCTTGTACTGATTCTATACTGTGGAGCATTATGGTATGTTGCCATACATTTCCTTTACACATCTTAGAAACAGTTTAAATTTCTTCAATATCTAATCTGTTACTTGATTGCAGAATGGATATGAGAAAGACAAGATCAAATCTATGATTCTAATTGGTTGCACCAGCATTAGTGCGGAAATGCTTGAGAAGATTCTTCTTTCTTTTCCTTTTTTATCTGCAATAGACATTAGAGGATGCAGCCAGTTTAATGAGTTGACTTCTAAATTTCCCAATGTGAAATGGATCAAGGGCCGAAGTTCACGCATAAGCAAAACAGCAGAAGAGCCACATAAAACTAAAAGCCTTAAACAGATCGCTGAGCTAACTGCATCTGTTTCCAAGACCAGCAATCTAGGTGCCATGGATGATTTTGGTGAACTGAAGGACTATTTTGATAGTGTGGATAAGAGAGACACAGCAAAGCAATTATTCCGTCGAAACTTATACAAGAGGTCCAAACTGTATGATGCCAGAAGGTCCTCTTCCATTCTATCTAGGGATGCTCGTACCAGACGATGGGCAATTAAGAAATCTGAAAATGGTTATAAAAGGATGGAGGAATTTATTGTTTCTAGTTTGAGGGAAATTATGGAGGAAAATCCCTGTGACTTTTTCGTGACCAAGGTACCTTCATATATTCAAGCTGCCATTTTTCAGGTCTTCTATATTATTCCCAAAGTTTTATGTCTAATTTTGTCTTTTGTTAGCAGGTTGCCGAAATCGAAGCTAAAATGAAAACTGGTTATTACAGTGGTCGGGGGTTGAGCTCTGTCAAGGAGGACATCAGCCGGATGTGTCGTGATGCAATAAAGTAAATTTTAGTTCTATGTTCTTTTTAGTTGGAAGTTGATGAATGTTTCTGTGCTCTGTTTATATGATAAGATTTGACCCTTAACAATGAACGTTATTGAAATATTTCTGAGAAAACGTAGAAAGAACCCTGAATTTTGTTATTATTTTGCTAGTATCCTGATTGAGCACTAGATAACACGGCCAAAATTTAAGTTCTTACTGGAAAAGAAGTCATTGACACCGATTCTTGTTGTCATGAATGTTCCTCTGTTTGACTCTAATCTATATGCATGCTCTATTCCTTTTACATTTAATTATCTTCTATCCATGTACATCTGGGAGGCTTACGGTTGCTATCATCAAGTTCTTCTACATCCTGATATTATCCCTGAAATTTTGAAAAGCATAGCTGTGGTTGCCTGTGTTTATGGATTTATATTGTTAAACTGGGTATGATTCATGGACATTTCCCTCCTTCCAGTTTTTAATTTATCTATTATGTGTTCTTATGCTTAATGTTCACAGAGCAAAGAATCATGGTGATGCTGGTGATATGAACCATATTGTTACGCTATTCATTCAGCTTGCAACACGGTTGGAAGGAAGTTCCAAGTCTCTGAATGACAGAGATGCATCACTGAAGCTTGGGGAAAATGACTCACCATCCTTGTTTAGTTCAACTTCCTCAAAGTATAGGAAGAATAAATTGGTCTCTGAGAGGAAGTATAAGAGTAATGGGGCACGTAGTAGTTTAGATAATGGAGGCTATGTCTCTGATAGAGAAATTAGGAGACGTTTATTAAAGTTGAATAGGAAATCTTTTGATTCAGAAGGTGAAACATCTGACGACCTTGACATTTCTTCTGAAGACAGCAAGAGTGACAATGAAACCACAACCTCTGACAGTGAAAGTGACCAAGAAATCCATTCAGAAAGTCGAATTGCGGAGTCAAGAGGAGATGGACACTTCATGCCTGATGAGGGTTTGGATTTCATAACTGATGATCGTGAATGGGGTGCTCGTATGACAAAAGCAAGTCTAGTTCCTCCAGTTACCCGGAAATATGAAGTCATTGACCATTATGTCACTGTAGCTGATGAGGAGGATGTGCAGAGGAAGATGCGGGTTTCATTACCAGATGACTATGCAGAAAAACTGAATGCACAAAAAAATGGCACTGAGGAGTCAGATATGGAACTTCCTGAAGTCAAGGACTACAAACCAAGAAAACAGCTTGGAGATGAAGTTATTGAGCAAGAAGTTTATGGAATTGATCCTTATACGCACAATCTTTTGCTCGATTCTATGCCAGAGGAGTTAGATTGGACTCTTCAAGAGAAGCATGTGTTTATAGAAGACATGCTCCTTCGGACTTTGAATAAGCAAGTTAGGCATTTTACTGGAACGGGAAGCACTCCAATGAGCTACCCTTTGCTGCCTGTTATTGATGAAATTAAGAGGCTTGCTGAGGAAGACTGTGATGCGAGGATGGTTCAAATGTGTCAGGGTATCCTAAAAGCCATAGATAGTCGCCTGGATGACAAATATGTAGCTTATAGAAAGGTATGTGCAATTTTTTTGTATATTTCAGTTGTATTTTTTACCATTTTCTCAAGTTATTTCCCTTCTCAGTTTTTTTGCTCAGTTAATATTCCCTTCTGTTTTGTTACTACCAATTGGGTTGAACTGAGCAGGGCCTTGGTGTTGTCTGCAACAAAGAAGAAGGATTTGGCGAAGATGATTTTGTTGTGGAGTTTCTGGGAGAGGTATGGCTTTGGTTTTGTGGTAACTTGCTTTCTTTTTCTAAGGATTCATTGATGTGCATATGATGCATGTGTCTATCGTCTTCAATTAGATCTCAGGTTTCTATGTATCTGAACATTTTTTTCTACTAGTTAGGAAAGAACTGGAAGCTTCCTGGGGATATATAGTTCTACGTTGTTTAACATGATCAAAATAGCTATGATCTCTCCCCCCCCCAAAAAAAAAAAAAAAAAATAACTTTGACATTTAAACGTGAAACTAAATTGCTAAGCAGGCGATTGCATGGACATAACATATGGTTTTAAATGTTTATTCCTGTGAGGACTTTTTCCAACTGAGCCAAATAACATGATGATGTGAAAAAGGGAGAGGAATGGTGTGAGAGAAGAGAAAGAGGGAGAGGTAGACAGAAAGGAGGAAGAAAAATAGAGAGAAACTAAGGGAGAAAGGAACTTGAGGGAGAGAATGAACACAAATTCTCAACCTCTTTCAATTCATTAAAAAGCCTGCAAATGAAGAAACTCGGGGGCTATTTAGAGAGCCCTATCTTTAATCCTAAAGAGCCCTATCTTTAATCCTAGTTAAACTAAACTGCTATCACCCTAAAAGATAGGATTAAATCTTGTTCAAATTTAAAATAAACAAGATCCTTGATAAGATATAATCCTAGATAATATCAAATAATCCTAACCCAAACTAAATTTATTTAAAAGATAATCCAAATCCAAAGAAATATAAAATAAATAAACTAATAAGACAAAAATCAATCTGATCAAATCCTAGGGTTTCCTACTCCTTGCAGGAGTCTTCCATTTTTCATCACATGTAGCTAGTGCTGTCTGCTGTTCGCCTGTTCCCTGAAATTTTAGTGAAAACCATGTGCATATAAATAAATCTAACTCATTGAATTTCATAACTTTTATGCAGAAATGGTGCTTCAAGATTTCTCCAATGCAAATGCATGTGTCGATTTTTATGACATTTTCAGTGTTTTTTCTGGTTTGGGTTTTCTGGTTTTCCTGAGGGATTCGTATAGGAAGAGGAACCAACTAAACTTATGAAAAATACTCAAATTAATACCCATGTAGTAGACAAAGAGGAGATGGCATATTCCTTGGCTCAAATGCCTTGTCTCAAATAATCCTGATTTATTTTTAAATATCCCAATTAGTTAATTACAGATACATAAATCCCAGACAATAATTATAGAATTAAAAATAAAATAAATGACAATTTCACCATCTTGTAAGGGATTGTTAATTCTGGCTTTCACTAATTAATTTTTTTTATAGAAAGTCTCATGGCTGACTTCTATTACAAAGGGAACAATTAGTAATGCGCAACTATCATGAGGTGCTAGTTCAAGTTAATTGATGTCCGCTATGGTTTAGTATATCTTCTATGAATAATCTTGTCCAGTATACCTAGTCTTCAACATAATTCGCTTGCATGATATTGTGATTGTGAGGCATAATTCTCCCCCTTAAATTCCTTTTATAGGTTTATCCTGTGTGGAAGTGGTTTGAGAAACAAGATGGAATACGTTCTCTGCAGAAAAATAGCAAAGATCCAGCTCCTGAGTTCTATAATATTTACCTTGAGCGGCCAAAGGTGTGCTTATTACTTCAGACTAGAATTCTTTGATATTTATGTGTATTGTTCAATACTTTCTTATACTTCCAGCTCTCTGTACAATCAATATTGTGTTGCACATGGCAGGGCGATGCTGATGGGTATGACTTAGTTGTTGTTGATGCCATGCATAAGGCTAACTATGCTAGTCGAATATGTCATTCATGCCGGCCTAATTGCGAAGCAAAGTAAGCTGTTATTGTTTGCATTTTTTGTTTACCCGTAGTTAAAGCACTTGATTTTATTTTTCTTGTAAAAAAAATGCTTCTTATTTTAGTGCACTGCTTTTGTTTTGGGTTGTTGCACCTGTGTAAGAGATTCTGTTATACTTCGCCAATTGAATTTATTGTGCTTCTTATTGTACGCATTTTATCATTGTTTCCTTTGTTTTTTCTATTTTCCATATGAAGTATGGCACAGGCAACAGTCAATTGTTTTCTAAGTCTGAGGGCCTTGAAAATTGTAGTGCCTGCAATCTGCTTGTGGCCCAAAAAGGTTCTAAAGCAAGTAATTTTCTCTTGTGACTAGCTAATTTCTTATTGAGTAAATTTTAGTTTAGTTTTGGGAAGATCACTCTCTCTCTTCAAATTATTGACAAAGCAAGGGTTACCTAATGACATTTATGGTCTTAGAAATTTGGTTATAAACTGGACCATCAAATTAATGAAATTGATGGTGAAAAAGTGACATTTTGCTTCCTTGATGCAAATAAAATTGTGAGGCTGCTTTCTAACAAATTGGAAGTACTTGCTTTTTTTAGATTAGTTTTTTTCTTTGCCCTGGCTGTGGCAGCAAAGATGCTGTAGGACTAAAAGTTTAATCTAACTGATACTAAATTTTGTATCTGCATGTTTTAGCCCTCTTTGTAGACATTGATATTGACTCTGAGATTAAGCAATTGACAATCTGCCCCCCCTCTCAAAATGTCCATTTTTTTACTGTTTCTGTCTCGAGTTCTTAATGTCACCTGACTTTTTGTTACATTGTTGAACTACTTTTTAATTCCTGGTAATCATTTCCTGCCTTTTCCTTTCTCGTCCAGAGTTACAGCTGTTGATGGTCATTATCAAATTGGAATTTATACTGTTCGTAAAATACAACATGGTGAGGAGATCACTTTTGATTATAATTCTGTCACAGAGGTTTGTCCTCCTTTCCACTACCTTTTTCTACTTTAAAGAAGAACACTATCTATTGCATATCATGTCTGATAAATACCTGTTCATCTTACTGTAGAGCAAGGAGGAATATGAGGCTTCAGTGTGTTTGTGTGGGAGCCAAGTTTGTAGGGGAAGTTATTTGAATCTGACTGGTGAAGGCGCTTTCCAGAAGGTTTGGATTGTTGGGAACCTTCTTTTACTTAGGGTCACTAGCAAAGATGTGTGTGTGTGTGAACATCGCTGGGTTTCCTGCACACGTTTATTATCTTGCTAGTGTTCACATCCGCACTAAGCCTTTTCCTGGAGTTAGCAAAAATAAGTTGAATAATATTTGTTCTTTTCTAATTTGAAATCTTTGATAATTTTATCTGTCAACTGGGGTTTGTTGTCCATCCTCTTAGGTGCTGAAAGAGTGGCATGGAATTCTTGATCGTCATTATCTGATGCTTGAAGCCTGTGAATTGAATTCTGTTTCTGAGGAGGATTATAATGATCTGGGAAGAGCTGGTTTAGGCAGTTGTTTGCTTGGTGGCCTGCCAGATTGGCTAGTTGCATATGCAGCTCGCCTTGTAAGTGGCTTTCTTCCTTTTTTGTCCTTATTTTTCAAAAAAACATTTGCTGTGATTTTTAATTCTGCTCCAATGATGCTTGCGGTGAAGGTGAGATTCATCAATATTGAAAGAACTAAACTTCCTGAGGAAATTTTGAGGCATAATCTGGAAGAAAAAAGGAAATATTTTTCAGATATATGTCTTGAAGTTGAGAGGAGTGATGCAGAGGTTCAGGTGTGCTTGCTGTCTTTTTTCCTGCTTTGCTTTATTTCCTAAAGATATACATATTCTGGCAACCAAAAAAGAAAAAATTTAAAGGCAATTTGGAATTTCGTATGCCCAATTTTCCAACTCTTTTCCCATCAACCTTTTTTGTATGGCTCAGGCTGAGGGTGTGTACAACCAAAGGCTGCAGAATCTTGCTGTCACTCTTGATAAGGTGATGGTGCCTCCCCCATCTTTCTGTTTGTGTTTGTCAAAATTTTTTCTGGTTTAGAATGAACATGAGTATTAATGCTTTGATGCTAAACTGTGGACCCAAAAGATGGTAAAGGCTAACTTTTTTTAAAAGAATTTTTAAAAACTGTAGGCTGATATCCTTGTATATTGGAAGCTGGTTGGAATCACAGTTTATAGGTTTTTTAGAATTCCACGTAGCATGTTTTTATGTTAAGTCCTTCAAAATTACATGATTCCATGTGAATCAGAAGTTCATGCATTATGTTGCACTCTGCAGTGTACCAGGGGATCTCAATCTAGAGTCATGGTTTTGCAATTATTTTACTTTATGTAATTTTAGGATGATGTTAACCTTTAATTGACATTACAGGTAAGGTATGTTATGAGATGTATTTTTGGTGATCCACGGAAAGCACCACCTCCACTTGAAAAGCTCAGCCCTGAAGCAGCTGTTTCCCTCCTCTGGAAAGGAGAGGAGTCATTTGTTGAGGAGCTTCTTCAGTGCTTGACTCCTCATGTTGAAGAAGATACTTTGAATGATCTCAAGTTGAAAATCCACTCTCATGATCCTTCAGGTTCTGGAGATATTCAAAAAGAGCTCCAGAAATCTCTATTGTGGTAAGTGAATTGCCCCTTTCGTATGAATGTATTTTGCCTGAATGAATATGCAACCCTTACCATGTGTTTACTCCCACTTTTTAAAGGTTGAGGGATGAGGTCAGAAATCTTCCTTGTACATACAAAAGTCGGCATGATGCTGCTGCTGACTTGATTCATATTTATGCTTATACCAACTGCTTCTTTAGAGTACGGGTATGTTTTTCTACTGCAAATTCTGAGAACCTGCGGTTATGATTAAAAGTTTATTTTTACCCCTTGAATTCAATTTTATTGTCTAAAAAAATTTACTTTTCTCCTTGCAGGATTATCAAGCTATTACTTCTCCACCTGTCTATATTAGTCCACTTGACTTAGGTCCCAAGTATGCTGACAAGCTGGGAACAGGATTTCAGGAGTATCGAAAGACATATGGTGAAAATTATTGTTTAGGGCAGCTAATTTTTTGGTATAACCAAAGTAATGCAAATCCAGATAGTAATCTGGCCAGAGCTCGCAGGGGTTGCTTGTCATTGCCAGATGTGGGTTCCTTTTATGCAAAGGCTCAGAAGCCATCACGGCATCGTGTCTACGGTCCTAGAACTGTCAGATCTATGCTGGCAAGAATGGTTAGTTTCGTAAGCTTTGTCATCAAGTTCTCTAGTTACGACCTGCTCTGTGCTTGTTGCATGAAAAACAACTTGCAGTACACGTTTATCCATAACATGTTGCCTGAAAACCAATTGGTAAGCACATTATTTGGTACAATGCGTTTATGAAGTATGGATACTTCCAAAAAAGTAAATGCATCTGCATTCGATACAGTACTCATAGGATACTTTAGCATATGTATGGCATATTCTAACATTTGTAATGATTTTTTTTTCCAACAAATTTTTTCTGTATCACTTAAAAGCTTGAAAAAAAAAACACTTAATATTTTGGTTGATTGTTATAAATACCTTATATTATTTTAGAAATCCTTGTTTAAAAATCAAAATACCTATACCTATATCATAAAATGTTGAATTATATATTGTAAACATCCCCGTACCCATATCTTAAAATTTTGAAAAGTTGCCATATTGCCTTATCATGTGGTATCGTATCAAATACTCGTACTCATATCTGTGCAACCTAGAATACAACGTAGTAGAAGTGGATGACAAAGGGTATAAGTTCGGAGAGATTGCCTGCAGCTAGATGACAATGCTTGGGATTTTGATGGGTAGTAGCTGGTTAATGGTTTATGCTGGCTATTGTAGAATATTTTATTTTTTGATAACTGCCTATTGCATTTGAAAGAAGATATTGGATTGTGGGTGCTTTTTTTGAATAGATGTGCTTGTTCAGTTGTTCTGTGAAATTACATTTTGTGGAGGCTGGAAGAGATTGGACGTTTTCTTTCCTTTTACAAGGTGTAATTTTTTAATCTTGATCTTTTGTAAACTGCTTGTGATATACTCCTCTGATTTATTTATAAAGCACTTTCAACATATTTTACCAAAACTAAGAAAAACTTTAAAAAAATTTAATAATTTCTCAACTTTGTCCCTATTAAATATACATAACTTAATAACATATTTTCTGTCTCTAACATTCAATAAAACTCATATGGGAAAATTTACAATGAAAATTTAATGAAGTAACTTATAAATGAAATAAAAAAAAAATCTCTCTCGACTCTATAAATAGGACCACAGCGAGTAGTCAAAAGGATCAAAAGACATGATTGTTGTGGTGTAAAGAGGGGAAGTGGGCCCTGGATGTAATCTTCCTCATAGACTTGCATGGTTGTAGAGGATTCAATTTGGTGATTTTCATTTTGCTAACCAAGATGAGATTGATGGAGTTATTTAAATTTAATGAATAATGGAGGACACCAATGTCTTGGTTATAGGAGGGACATTTTACATTAAATGGTAGTGTGTTAAGTGAAAGCTCATGAATAGTTGTTGTTATAATTTCTAGCACGTTTTGTCATGAAAGTCCTTGGGGTCTTGAGCTGGGACAAAACACATGCCTACCATACCTTGTCCAAGTTAAATATTTAACAGAATTGATGGTGCACTTTGGTCATAGAGGCTTTGATGCCATGCCAAAGATCACTTCAATTCAGGAGTGAAAGATTTTTATTGATTTATTTATCTAGTGGCCAATGAAGAGTTTATGGTATCAAGTGAAGGCCACTTGTTTTTTCTTTCCTTTTTTTTGAAAAGGAATCTGTTATCTTTCATGGTCATTTCATCTCTCTAGGTACAACTAAGTGTTACAAGTCTTGAAAAAATTTTATGACAATGTCATTTGTGGTAGACTGGTAGTCTAGATTTCTGTAAGACTGTTGATATTAGTGGACGTATGCATACTAAGTTGACTTGTAAAACAAAAAAAAAAAAAAATTCTCATTTTTTTTTTTTACAAAATGTATAAGCTACATGTCCCTGTATGCCTTTCTGGAGAACGTGATTGCTATTGTTTGAATAGTTTTTTGATCTGACCGTTTGCATGCTCTAAGGCTAGATCAGACATGTTCTTGTGATTTTTAATTTAGTTGGACTGGTGGTTGATCATCTGCTTTTTATCTAGGAGAAGCAGCCGCAGAGACCCTGGCCGAAAGAAAAGATATGGTCATTCAAAACTTCTCCGAAATTTTTTGGCAGCCCAATGTTAGATTCTGTTATAAATAACACTCCACTGGACTGGGAAATGGTTCATTGGTTGAAGCACAGAAGAGCCGTATTCCATGCCATGTGGGACAGATGAAATTTTGCGTAAGGTTTTGGGGAAGCTGACAGAGCCTTCTGGGCGGAACTCTTTAACATTAGAATATGGAGTGGTACATTCAAAGCTGCCTGCCTCTTTTAGCGTGGGGAGTATGTAATTATTGAATCCAAATCATTATTTCTCGAGTCCTCTTTCTCCTCATTCTTGTGTACAGTTTTTCTTGACCTTTGATTTGTAATTCATTTGGTTTAGGGCATTGTTTTACTCTTATCTAATATGAAATGAAAGGTGAAAAAATGTCTATTCCAGGCACTACCGTGTTTCTCAATCCTGTCTTCTTTCCCCTATGTTGAAACATGTGGAGCATTTCATTTTCTGTATGCACCATCCTTGAGTGAAGGCATAGCACAGATTTTTGAGAGCACGTGAATTGGAGTCAAGAGTCTTGCAAGTACATGTCATGATATGTACAGGAGAGGCTACCAGGGCATGCAGAAAGAGTTTGCATGCTGATGTGTACGAGCTCCTAATAACTTGGACAAGGCAGGGATACCGGAACCTCTATTGCTTGCTGCTGATTATCAGCGTTTTGGGTGTAAAAAATCTATTATTTGCCTGTGACGTAATTTCAACGGCTTCCTTGGCAGTGAGATTGTGGATGTCGCACCCGCATTTTAATTTCCAAGATGAAAATTCAAGTCAAATCCAAAAAATCTGTGCAAGTCATATCTGTAGGCTCAGCAAGAGTTAAGACATGGACTAGAGTGAAGAAGTAAAAGGAATGCATTGTCTCCAAAATATCTACCTCTTTCCATGGGGATAAGGACGTATGAGTTCTTAATTAGCCGCCTTTATAATTCCGATGCGTCTTGATTTTGACTGCCTTGCTATTAAACCCTCTTCTCTCACTATGCCGCCCCTCTCCTTTCTATTCCCTCCTCCAACGTTCCTCTCCTCTTTATGATTTTTGTTGCCTCTTAATCCAATCTCTCCTCTTGATTTTTGTTGACTCTCACGTCTCCACCACCAAACCCACACACCCCCCCCCCCCCCAAAAAATAATAATAATAATAATAATCACATTCCTTGCTTTATTCTTCCCTGCTTTTCCCCATTTTTTCTTTCAATTTTTCTCCTTTGCTTTATTCTTCCCTGTCTCGTATTGGTAACGACTCAGTCAAATCCTAATCTTCATCACCAATTCAAAATCTTTCGTTATTTGTTCTCTTGATATGATCATTTATTTTATGCACATTTCCGCTAATGTCTCGCTTTAATCACAATCTTTTGAATTTTGATATGGTCACAATGAGAGATTTGAGAGCTGCAACATAGAAGGGCAAGTCTCAAGTATGTAGTATCTTTGAATTTAATTATTATTTTATTTTAAAAAAAATTAAAGCGCAAGGCACAATTAATTAAAATAAGGGAAGTTTTTTTTTTAGTATTCTTTGTTTTTTAAAAAAAATTTAAATTAAATACGTATGATAAGAAATGTATTTTTAATGTTAGTTTTATTTTTTTAAAATCAGAAAGCCATAATGCCCCTTTATTTTGGACGTAAAATTGTATGATACCCGGTTGTATAGCCCAATGAATGGAAGAATGGCAATAGAGAGAGTGGATGAAATGAAAGTTTATCCGAGAGAGAGAGAGAGAGAGAGAGAGAGAGAGATGAAAAGGCTACCTCGCAGAACCAACGGTAACGGGTCAGTGCTTGAGGGGCGATCGGGGAAACATCTGACACCTCACCTCAGTGTCCGATGTCGGAGCTGTTCTCGCCACAAACACAATCATTGCCTTAACTGCATCACTACACACTGCATCTGCTTCCGCTATCGCTCACCGCCATGCCATTTCACAGCTCTCTCCTTCACTCTGCTTTTGCTTTCCTCGTTTTCTTTATGTTATTACTTCCCAGTTCTTTTTATCTCAACCCAGCCTGTGTTCCTTCTCTACCTATTCATATTTACTCTTTCCGTACATATATATAAAATATTTTTAATTAAATTATATAAATTAATAAAAATTAGTTATCTAATTAAAAATACAACAATATTATAATTTTATTTATAATTATTATAAATAAAAAATAAATTTCTTTTTTAAAGTAAATTAATGACGATACTTATATTTTATTCTCTCTAATTTAATAAGAATATAATGATCCATTTATTAAAAAATATGCTAACAATATCTTATATTTAGAGATAAAAAAAAATTTTAAATAACCCCTTATATATAAAGATTGAGTGAGTAAATTTTAATAGACTTGCATTACCCTTGACTACTCACGAGTTGCTCTAACTAACACTCTCGGTTTGCTTTAATATTGGAATGCCCTCTTATGTCTCAACATGCATGGATTTAGAGTTGTGCAAAAGTTCTTCAGTTTAGTTTGGTTTGATCCAACTTGAGATAAAACCAATTCTATTCGATCCAGATAAACATTAGCCTTTTAGTACTAAAAAGATCAAACTTTCTTTAAATTGGACTGGACAAGAGATCAAGTATTTGAATCACTTGGTCTGATCCGATCCTATAAAGTATTTAATATAATTATAATTAAGTAATATCACGATAAGTTAATTTATAATAATAATTAGTATTTTGTGTGTGTTTTATACTTGTGATGCTATGAATATTGAACAAAATTTTAATATTGACCAATATTAGGCTTCTCCTTTTATTAGTGAAATTTATTGTTAGCCTAACGTAATGAACTTTAGACATGTTGAAGGTTGCTCAATGATGTTGAAAATTGTTTGATTTGAATCATTTGTATTGTAATTAAAATAGTTTTTGTTGTTGTTTGATATTGCTGTGGATTTATAGTTGTTGTTGTGATAAATTTTATATCACTATAAGTAATTTTATTATGTTAATTAAGTTTATTATGTTAAAATAAATTGTTACCTCTCATAGATGAAAAAGGAAAAAAACAAAATGAGATACTACATAAGATCGGGACCAGTCTCTTAATACTACTGGACCAATCTAGTCCTATCCAAATTTGGGTTATATTAGGATGAAATCGGACTACGAGTTGCTTAATTCAATTCTTTTTATAAAAAAAATATACCTCAAGTTAGGTCGAAGTCTTATCAAATTTATCTTGTGTGCAACCCTACATGAATTGAAGTTGAATTTTTCCTTTTACAAAAAAAAAAGAAAAAATCAGTAAAGATTTAAACGATTAAATTGAATTTAAAAATTTAAATTTAATAATTTTTAAAAATATAAATTTAATTTAAATAATTTAAATTTATAATGAAGAGACAGTAAAAAAAATAAAGAGAAATCCACCCCACATGGATTAAAGCACATATCAAGAGAGTGACAAGTAGTTACTATTTATTATCCCCACACACATGCCCGTGGCAGAGCATATCAAACCCGCGCGTGCGTCAACCTGTGATTACCAATAGGAGCTAGCATTTAGCAATACCACAACATTAAGCAAAGGCTTCCTGCTTGTATGCTCACTGGCTTGGGATTAATGTAGGAGTTATCTTTTCCAATTTCCATCAGGCTGCGCAGCCAACAGATCAAGACGATGAATGTAAAAAGAAATAATTAACAATAAATTCAAAAAAGAAGACAAAAGGACAAAGCAGCAGAGCAGGGGCGGTTTTCCAGGGAGGAGCTGAAACGGCCAGAAAGCAAAAGCAGACAAAAACAGCCACCCCTCTCTCCCCCCCCCCTTCCGCCACCTCGACGTACCCTTTACATGTACGGACCCAATCATCCTCGACCTCCTCACCCTCTCTCTCTCTCCCTTCCACGTCTCTATTCATATTCTTCTCGTAACCTCCCCTCTTCTTCCCTATTTATTCCTTCTTCCTTCCACCCTCTCATTCTCACTCCCTCTGCCTCTGCGTCTTTTTGATCGCTACATGGATCCTAACTTTGCCTCGCCCTATTCTGCCGCCCATGACTCTCCTCCTCCTCCTTGGACCCTATGTTCTCCGGCGTCAGCCTTCAGTCCATTCTCAGCCTCAACCCCTCCGTCTTCTCTGACTACGCCGCCAGCAATGGCCTCCCTGGTCTCGCCTTCCTACCGGATGATTCCCTGTCTCTGAATCTTCCAGGCACAGTCACCCAGGACTTCAACACTGAACACCACATTCCAGAGACAAGGGAGCCTACTATCATTCCCAAGTCTGAGCCCGGTCTCTTCGAATACGTTGCTCTCTCCGGGACCACTACTCACCCCTTCGACTTCTTCTCCAGTCACTGCCCTCCCAGCTTCTACGATTCATCAACCTCCATCCTGCTCCCTCAGCTCCATTCCGTCGAGTCCTTTTCTCACAAACGTCCCCGCTTCGACTCCCTCATTTCTACTCCCAACACCGTGCCGCCGCCGGCGCAACACCACCCCGACCCTGCCACCGTAGGAAATAACCTCTTGGCCGTCGCGCCTTCGCTTAACACCCAACCTTCCTCTTCTTCGTTGGATGGCCCCGCCGGTGAAAAATCCTCTCCGGTGATCCCTCAAAGCAACCTGGCACGTCAGCGGCGGCAGAAGCTGAGCGACAAGACTCGGTGCTTGCAGAAATTGATGCCGTGGGACAAGAAGATGGACCAAGCCACGCTCCTGGAGGAGGCGTACAAGTACGTCAAATTTCTGCAGGCTCAGTTCAATGCCCTCCAATGCATGCCCCCCGATTCGCCCTTCCTGTCCCTCCGTGGCGCTTCGCATTCCCAATCCTCCCTTCTAAACGGTGACGTTTTTGGGGATTTAGAGAGGTTGAATCGAAACCAGGTGTTGCAGGTGCTGGTGAACTCGCCCGTTGCTCAAACAAGGCTTTACTCCCAAGGCTTCTGCGTGCTGTCCGTGGAACAGTTAACTTTGCTGAGCAGCATGGCAGGGAGGAGGCTTCTTCTGCCGCAGATGATGTCCGATAACGCTTCGTCAAAATCCTTCTTTAAGTGACGCTTGCCTCTATAGGTCGAGGGAATGCTTCCCTCACCGGCGGCTGGTGGAGCGTGTGCTAAACGCGCTTCCTTGGAATGCTCACTGTTAGGCTTAGTTCACAATGGCCCCTAGGCTCTAGGTGTTTAATTCCCAATTATATATATGATTTTGTTCTATTTTCCCTTTACTTTTTGAACCTGTTCTGCATATAACGTACGTGTATGCGCATCTATAGCTTCCAAGGGTTACTACAGAACACGTGTTTGAGCGTTTTACGGTTACAAATTCAAATCTCTTTGATTCCCCTTCCTGCGCATCACATTGTTCGAGTTATGGGTTCTTGGTATGGTGTGTATACTTCTTGTCACACTGACTGTTGGCGAAGGCGTTTCCTTTGAAAACCATTTTCTTAGTTTGGTGTTTACTCTTAGGGCTCTACAATTATTATGTCACTCTCCGAGAGTGTTCGCTTCTTCATGCATCTCTCTCTACATGATTATGATTCTTTAAAACTAGCCAGACGCTAGCTACAAGCCAGAACGTCGTTTTGTTTGTGCGCAAACGATTCCAAAACAGATGACGCTGGGCTTTGATGCGACCACTTTTAAAAGTCGTCTTGGCACATTTTGTAACCTCACATTATCCGACGCATATTTCTGAAAGCCCGAAACATTTGGTCTGTCTCATGTTTGCGTTGGGCCATGTACCATCATAACAAGATCCCTATCTGACCACATTTTGGACCTTCCTTGAAGTTGGTTGTCATAATTGAAAGAAAATAGCAGGCGATCCAAAACATGAAGTCAGCAAAGCCGAGCAAACCCCCACGGGCAACAAAATAGGTGCGAACAATAACAAAATGCAATAATGCACAAGATGAGCTTAGGATTAACAACTTGAAGCTCAGAGATACTTTAAATTAAAGTAAAGATGATGTGTTTTTTTTTCTTTACTTTTTGCAGGTTAAATCAATGAATCTGATACGCGCACCAGATCAGTTAGTTTTTACTGTTTTTTTTTTTTTGGGGGGGGGGGGGGGAGCTCTGCTTTAGGGAAAGGGTTATTGGATTTGCACTTTGCAGCTGCACTTGGGAGGAATTTTCATGTCATAAACAAGTTTTGCAAATGCTACATGATCATAGAAACAAAATCTTGGACTTGATCAGTCCACGTTCACTGCCACGTCACCCTCATGTGTTGTGTGAAAGAGGATATGTCTTGTGTGTGAAAAACAATTTGGGATAGTTGCACCCAGCTTCTACGCATGTTAGCTATTACTACTATCTAGTATCGGAGTGATTTTCGCGGAGTAGAGGTTTTCTTCGCCTAGGCTTCCCTAGACTCTAGACTAGGGACCAAGGGTCTTGGTGTCTTCTCTCCAATGAATAATGCTTCGAAACTTTAATGAAAAAATTACTCACAAATTTTAAATCCTGCACATTTTATGAATAAAGGTGAGTATTTTATAAATTTTATAAAATTTGTTAATAAGTTCTTTTATATGTAATTTTTTCAACTTTAATTTGTCCGGTGATTCTTAGACTTTTTTAGGGGCAAAGAGACGTTAGCTTGTTTTGCCGCGCGAGGGAGGGAGGGAGGGAGGTTCGCTTGATGTGCAATGTCAAAAAGATGCTCACTTAATGTTGTCAAAAAGAGGGTCACTTGATGTTGTCGCTTCTCAGTTTGAAAAAAAAAAAAAACTACAACCATTTCAATTATGTTTGAATCTGCTCGTAAAGTCCGATCAATTTTCCATTATTTCGTTAAATATTAATTGTCTGTAGGCATTAGCAACCACGACAATGGTTGTTAATTTTTTTGCTGGAGTAATAATACGAATCTTTCATTCAAAAAAAGGGAAGATAGTCAATAACTATTTATCTTAATAATAACGTTACCTTTCTTTTTTAAAAGAGCTTTTGAATTCGAACCCACCATAAACTTGTATTGTATGTACGTTTGTGTGCGCGTTTTCCTCTTCTTTTCTTTTCTTTTTTTCCATGAGGAAAGATTGGATTAGAGATTTAAAAAAAAAAAATGACGTTCCAGGGAATAATAGTACCCCTCTCTTCATGCTCCACCACTCATCTATTGTTCTAGGTGACAACAGTTCTGAAATTATATTAGCAGAAACAACTGATATGTCTGTTCCCTGTCAGAAAAAAAGACAAGAAAATTAGTCAAAGTTTTCGCAGTTGGGCTTTTATGTAAATGTGCATCGCCACTACTTCATGAGCTGGTTTACACTGAATAGTTTAATACCCAACTTTCTCCTCTATCGAGGAAATCAGAGAAAGTGTAGAAGTAAAAACTGGACAAATTAAAGTTTGCGGTTTGCACTGTGGACAAGAGAAACTTTCACCCACTTTTCTCACCACCTCCTCCATCCGATCTCATTCTGTAAACCTTTCCTGTATTCACGGACGGGCGGGCACCTACATATATGCCCGCTTCTTCTTTTTTCCCACGCTCTATATCTCTTTATTGAAACTTCACGGCAGCAAGCAAACCAGAAAACGAACTATTCGCAAAAATGGCAAGAGGGGCAGGCGTTTTTATGTGTTTCTTGATCCTAGTCATGGATGGAGCAGCTGGGTATCTTGGCATCAGGGCTGAAATTGAACAAAACAAGGTATGCTTGAAGCTCCCTCTCTTTCGAAAAAACACACATACTACATCACAGTACATCTTCAATGCAGCAAAGTCTATAACTAATTGCCGAGATTGTTTGAACAAGCAGGTTAAGCACTTGAGATTGTGGATATTCGAGTGTAGAGAGCCAAGCCATGAAGCTTTCCTTTTGGGGTTAGGCGCAGCAGCACTTTTGGCTATAGCCCATGTTATGGCCAATTTGCTTGGTGGCTGCAATTGCGTTTGTTCTCAACAAGAATTTGCGAAGGCTCCTCCCAACAGGCAACTCTCGGTGGCTTGCCTCATTCTGACTTGGTATGTATCTTTACTGCTACTGGTTTTTAGGGATCAAAACCATATCATTGCATACTGAATAAGATAACTCAGCCCCTCGTTTGTGTGTGGACCAGGATTGTAATGGGTGCTGGAATGTTCATGCTGGTGATAGGGGCATTGTCAAACAACAAGTCAAGGGATTCGTGTGGCATCTCACACCATCATTTTCTGTCCATTGGAGGGGTTGTGTGCTTTGTTCATGCCTTGTTCTCTGTAGCGTATTACGTTTCTGCAAATGCCTCTGTTGATTAATTAGTGACTGACTAGGATGCATCTGGACTCCACTGCTATCTGCTTTTGGGTTTTGGCTTTTTCCCGACTCTTAGATGTTTATGTTACTTTATGGACAGTGCGCTTCTATGCTACTTTCACCGAAAGAAAAGAAACATGCGACCGTTCTTGAGACGACCAAACTCTCTTTCCGATGTAAATGTATGACTATTACAGACGTTGGTCATTTTCCCCCGCAAATTTCTTTTCTTTGCAGTTATAGAGATAGTGCTTGCCTTACCTCCCCCCACCCCCCTTTCTTAACTTTTTGAGTAACTACTCAGTCGGTAGAATAATATTTTTCAGCAACTTTAATCTCTATAATTTGTTTGTAATGAACATTAAAATGGAAATGTGAATGGGAATAGGTGTTTAATGAACATGGAAGTTGAATAACCATGTGCGCACAAAAGTATCCGTTGGAATAGGTCAGCTCCTTAAATGGAATCCTATCAGCTCAAGGATTAGTCTTAGGCTGGGGACATCATGGAGAAATCAAAAAGAAATCGAATAACCTGGGGCGCTGCTTCTTTCCAAATGTGAGCTTAACTAAGGCTAATTTTGAAATCAAAAATTGACAAAACCTCGTAATTTCGATACAAGTAATGTCCTGTACGATTAACTCCCCTTTTCTTCTTTTTTGCCCTATCAATTATAACACTCTCAAGCCCACTCATTTCCCAGTTCAAATCCAGAAAATAGGAAGGAGCTCTTGCTTTTGTCTGCTAAATCCTAAAGGAGAAATCAAGGTTGTCTTCGATGTCTTGTGCATTATCCTCCTTTTATTATAGAAGTAGCGAAAACATGTCTACTAATTGATCCAAGGCAACTGTCAATGACCTTTGAAATTAACATAAGAATATAATCAAGTAGCAGAATTAGGCAAGAGATTAGTTGGTTTGGCATCTGGCTTAAAACGGAAATCTTCAGTTCTGGAAAGTTCATTACCATTCAGAATGGGGAAGAACAGCTTCCCACGATCTAGACATAAAAGTCACACCATCCTGAAAGCTTATTATTGTTCATAGCAAATTTTGTCCACCATCACTCGTGCTCCCTTCATCTGCCTCTCCTAGTCCATTTCAAATGTCATGAACAAGATTAGAAGATTCTCATCCAGACACAACACCCTATTGAACAGCTTAGAAACGATATACAAAAAAAACAAGAAAAAAAAAACTAGCTTAGAAACTCGTTCATAACAAATAACGCCCTCCATAATTCTCTCTCTTTATCGCAGGCTATTCCGGAGGTCATAAACAAAGAAAATGCTCATTCAAGTAATCAGATTATTCAAACTAGATCTTACTCCCCGTCCGTTGAACGGATAATTCATGTTTTTGAAAGTGAAGCAACGTGTGATTGAATGGAATTGGGCAATATTGTTGGTATAATTATATGATGAGTTAGAAAATGAGAGGGACTTAAATTATTAAGAAATAAATCATCAGTAAAATTTAAATTTATTATTAAGAAATAAATGATCAGTAAAATTGCTCTTATTCTCTTTGTTGAGCTTGTATGAGTAACTGACGTTTTTGAAGTGAACTATAGTTTTTTGGGCCAAAAAAAAAAAAAACTCCAGTCCATATGAAACAAAGAGTCTTTATGCATATACATACATATATATATATATATAATAAATTAAGTTATACTGAATATTGGGTGAGATACTTAAATGATATATTAATAATGAATTAATTGTAAAAATTTATAATAGAAATTATGCACATTCACAGTCAGCTAACATGAATATAACGTTGAAAATGGAGGAATTTTGTAAATTGATTGATGGCAAATTAATTTGAGAGAATAACATATAAATCTTAAAATGATCAATTAATTCAAATTAAATCACAACTAATTTTAAAAGTGCTAAACTCTAAAAACTTATAAGTTTAATTTTCAATTTAATAATTTCATTGTGATAAACTTTTTATTTATTTTTTAAATTTTAACATGATTAAAAACAAACAAATTTTTTTTTCTATTAAAATTTAAAACACAAATTACAAATTTATTACTCTTTTAATCTTAAATTATAAGATACTTTTTAAAAAAAAATTCAACGTCTTAAAATATAAAACACTTTTATAAAAATAAAATTTTATTAATAATAATTTTTCAATATTACCCTTTTCATATACTTTTTCTCTTCAATATTCTTTCATTAATAATGTATTAAATGAAAGACATTTTTTAAAATTTATATTTTTATCTTAAAAAAGTAAAATTATAAGATGTATTTAATAAATTTTATTGGCATATAAAATTTTATCTAAAAGTGTCTCATAATTTGAAACGGAAGGAATACAACAAAATTGTCAAATTAAAAATCAAACTTGCAAACTCCTTAAAATTTAACATTTCAAAATTGATTAGAACTTAATTTGAATTAATTAATTCCTTGAAACCTATCTCTCATTTTCCCAATTAATTTCCAATAGTATAATGTTTTACTATTTGCGCTGTGAATATAGCAATTGGACAACAGAGCTGTGCAAGTTTTTAACAATACAAGCTAAGCTGTACCTATTAAAAAAATCTCCTAAACTTTTTTCTATTGTTTTCCTATACAGATCATCGATAGATTTCCTACTGAGCAAATTTGACATTTCAACAATCATCATCTTAAATTTGACGTTCCAAACCTGTAATAATTCACTGAGCTTTCAATAGAGTTGGACTCATTAACTAGAAAGAAAATTAAAATAAGAGACAATTTCCACTATATAAATTGAAACATGTATGTATTAAAACTTTCAAAAGTCTATACCAATTCTAACATGAAAGTCTTTCAGATCTGAAAAAATAGCAGGACAATGGTAACAAACAACTATATCACATTCTCCCGTCTTCATTACATGGCTTATAGAGGAAAGACATCACTTTCTATTAACATTTTAATAACTACCAGAATACTCTATTTCTTAGAACAAAGTGCCAATTAGCTGCTTGAATCAAGTCATTCCATCTGACTTGAGATATTGAACAAAGTAAAGAAGTTAGTAAAGAAATTTTTAGTAAAGTGGCCATATTGTCTATCCATGCAGAATTATAAAAAGAATGTCACAGCCAAAATAAAGAAAAGTCTGGATGGCCAAAAAAAAAAACAAGAAGAAGAAGAAGCCAAAGTAAATAAGTTTTCAAAAAGACGAGAACGCAACCATTTATTCTTCCACCTCTTGCTCCCTTGACATCTAGAGGCTAATTTATTGAAAAGTTCAAGTATCGAATGTATTCTTTTCATCCTAGATTTCTAATCATTCCTTATCCATTAGCTTGTAGCCTCAGCTACAATTTGAAGCCAAACTTCATTATCCCAAAAGAATTCTGAATTAGTTGACTTTGAAATATCGCATTATTTCCAACAGGTTAAAACTGGCATAAGATTAAGTTACATATTCAAAAAATTAGATGTCAGCTGTTAAATATATTTAATCCTCTAATGAAATTTGAATCACGCCAAATTTAAGCCTTTGTAAGATAAGTCGTGAATCAATCCTGGCTGGAATGGGAGGGAAAAAAAGGAAAAGAAAAAAAAAAAACCCCTCTAGAGAGAACAGGGAGATATTGCATAGGCAGTCATTATATAATGTATATGGGCACATCTACATCAACAATCATGCTTCTCATAATTATATGTAATGCATATAATGATGGAAAAGATTTAAGATATGTTCACAAAATTATACAAGCAAGAAAACCACGGATTAGCGTGTAAGCAGTATATGAGTCACATGCAATAAACTATCCTAAATGTAACAAAAGTTTAGAAGATTCTAACTACTACCCTGCTGCACCATAGCATGAAGCACAGTAACTCTGTGACTACACACGTCTGCTACCATGTGTTTGCAAAGGCCTGTCAATCTGCATCACAAAAGAAATCCAGGGAAAAAAAAAATAACATCATTCAAATGAGCATGCCTTGAGCTCAAAGAAACAGATATCAAAAAGACATTTGTGTTTTGACAATAAACTTCTCCAGCAGGATTTTTGCATGTCATGATTGTAATCAGATTGAGTAGCAATATTTTATTCAATTGAAGTCAATGAAAGCATCATGAAATAACATAAAAATTACTTAATACAGAGTAACATTTTCATAACAATAATAGTAGTTGCCCCATGTCCTTGTTGGAATGTGAATTAAAGTTGCGATAAAGCACACAGGATTAATATTGTAACAGTAAAGTTTAAAATATGAACATTTCAAGCTATTATTCACAAATAAGGGCATAATGTTCATACTTAATACAAAGCATATATAATTAAAAGTCAAGAGTTTAGGAGTATTTCAGCTAACCTTCGGTACATAAATTCCATTTTGCTTTGCTGTCTACAAACAGGAACAATGTACTCTATAAGAAATCGATAAGAAAGATTAGTATTTTAGCCCCAAAAAAATTAGAAATAATAGTATCAACGTGAGACTGAGGAAAGAGAAAAACAGTAAAATACATGTATCGTTGAGGAAACAGGGGACGATGATAATATGGTAAAGAAAAATGACAAAGACACAAATTACCTGATAAAAATCCCCCAACATCTCTTCCCATTTACCTGATAGGTAAAAGAAAAAGAGAAAAAAATATCCTCAACATCCGCTCCCATTTTCCTGCTGCTCTGGTACGTAACAAGATGAAGCAGAAGAAAATAAAAATTATAACAAAGACACAAATTGAATTGTGGGAGCGCATGTCAATCAGTATTAGAAAGCAAGTGAAGAAACCAAATAGCGCCTTATCAAAAGCTACAAGAAAGGAATGTGTTATTCTCTAGAGTTGCACAACAAAAATTCTGCATGGCAAACCTGAATAGCAAATACTTAATGTTCCTAATATCTACATCCTTAAAGAAAAATTATGAATTCCATGGCAAACGTAAGCAGGAAATAATTATTAATTATTAATATTTAATAAGATAAAACAATAACTTTGCAAGTGTATGTAAGGGAAGAGAATTTAACTTCACGTCATTATTATATATCAGAGTTGTTCTCATGCTCCACATTCATATCAAAGCACCACCAAAAATAAACACAACACTTTGTAGGAGGGATGTAGACTACACATGACAAGGGTTAGCAATAACCTAAATAGAAATTGAAGGGTGCATAAAATTTCAAATAGCATATTATTTACTACATAAAATGGCAAAGAACGTTGTCAGGTGTTACTTTGGTACCATCTACTGGAAATATAAGAGCAATAACAACACGGTGGAAATAATTATGGATATTAGCATATTGATCATTTTTATTAAGATTACATTAAAAAACTAATAATACCAAAAATATTCTTATGCTTCTGCAAGTAATTTCCATAAAGTCACTGAAAAGATGAAAAGATGGTTCAGGGTTTTTGGATTGAACCAAGGCCTTTATTTCCCATACCCAGTGACTCCAGCTTCAAATCTTCAAGACTTCAACCGCATCCAAAAGTTTCTCCCTCACGTCCCCTTGATACAATTTTGTCATGCTATTCACCTCCAACATCATTTTCACTCAACTGGAGCTCGAAAGGTAGATGAAGAGCAGAGTAGAGAACTGACTTGATGCTTGATCCTGAAGGAAACAATCCCTTCTTTGGCTGCCTATATATCGATGAAGTTAAAGATTGGTGAGTATTTTATTCCACATAACTGTTGAAGTTAAAAGCCAAAAAAAGTATTTAAACTGTTGAAAGATAGATGAAAAGCATAGTTAAATCAACATTTACCTGAGCATAGCCCCAAAGTTTGCCCTTCTGAACCTTATCATGGTTAGTTCCAATGTTAACAAGTTATCAAAGCATCATGGTTAACTCACAACCTTTCCTTGAAATGGAAGAGGCACAGTAGCTTTACTAATAACACAATCTAAGGTAGACGAAAACGTCAAATTCGAACTATTGACAAAATTCACAGTGCAATTATCAAAATATTCCCAAAAATTGAGTAAGAACTCTCCATACAGCCTAGTCACCACAGCAAGCAGCAACATGATCATCTCATCACAGCACATCCATCTCCTTTCCAATTAAAATACCTTAAAGTGGAGGCATATTGAAAGCTTTAAACATACTATGCACAATATGTAACAAAAGGAGTTCAAGCATACTTGCAAAATAATGATAATGATAATAATGTCATAGATATAAGCAGCGGCTTTCAATCCTATACACCTCCTAGCCCAATTCCAAGGTTGTGAACAAGTCCAATGGGTCCATGAGGTATCTGGAAACATTATTAACTTAATTAATGCACTGATTTACTAATTTACCCTCCATAAATTCATTAATCCGGATTAAAAATTTGGGATGTTACATCAAGAACATTTGTAAAATACAATATATAAATTCAAGTTTTACATCAAGATAGGGATTAGCCAAAATGATGTCTTAACTTCAATTCAATAGTAAAACCCCTTCAATGATCTGTCAAAGGCAAGGTCAACTACACTATCTAAGACACAAATTTTCCAATGAATAACATTCCAACTCAGGGTATTATTTCTAGAAAGTAAAAGCAAGATCAACAATGGTCCATATTATTAATAGTCATATGTAAAAACTAAAAAGGAAGGAAAGCCCAACTGTATGTCCCTTGACCCACCTCAGATGATGCATCTCCCCCAGATACCACAGAGATATGCTACATGAAGGTGAAGTTGTCATGTTTGAAAAGTGAGAGGCAAATGGTCGATTGAAAAATAGCTAACTACCCGAAATCTTTTGAAGGCAATTAAAAAATTACATCAGGAGTTTGTTTGGCCATTTGAAAATTTAGTCCTTGCACCTGCAAGGAGCAGCCAGATCCGAAAGAAAAGGACAACCTGATAGCTAAAGCAAAACTTTGAAAATTGAACATTATATATGAACGCATCCCCACATTATACTAATGAAATTGAAGTATTAAAATAATTAAAAAAATCATCTAGGGGTTTAAAATCATAATATTTTTTTCACAAAGACTGTATATAAAAGTTTTGGATATAATCAAGTTAAATATATTAATTTTTAACTCATAAGTACAAATATAAGTTTTGGATATTATTGCCGACCCCTCTGTGAAATATAATTCATGGAATTCCAGCCCCTTTTCATATAATTTATTTCGATATATAAAAATACGTCTTCATTCATCCTAGCCGGAACTATTCATTCTCCAGTGATATGTGATAGGAGCCATTGTGTGAATCGGCTGGGCACAACGACAAATGAATAAAGAGATTGATGATGATGTTATCAAGACCAATTGATTAGACAAACCTGGTGAACACATCCATGATGCAGAGAAGGTATTTGTCTGTCACAAAAGAGGGATTCATTTCTTCATAACAAAGCATTCAAAAATGGATCCATAACAAATAATCAATGCAAACGAATATAAAGCAAGTAAAAGTATCAATCCATTAGTAACTCGAAAACCTATGTCTGCCTTGAAAATTCCAACAACAAAGTAGATATCTCCTCTGCCAAAAACCTACAATGGCTACTCTTCATCCAAAAATCCTATGGCACCAAACTATACTTCTCAGAAAGTCATAATGGACCTCACCGTTGCCAGGATAGTTACTACACCGAAGATTTCATTACATCCACTGCTACTTTTGCAGTATCATGAATCAATTCGACCCTCTTAAATACAATAGGAATTCATCCTTCTGCAATTCCTTGCCCCTTCGTTCTAACTCATTGGCCTTCGAACTCCCGATCAAGGGCATTGCTTCCTTCACAATGTCCATGGCTGATTCAGGTAACGAAAGCTTCCCCGAGACCAGAAACCCACCCAAAAGGGATGATTTAGAGAATGATTTCGCTGGCATAGCATTCACATCACCATGTGGCTCATATTTATCCTCAACCATATCCCGCTTCGGCGATCCTAAAGTAGAAGAATTCTTGCCTTTGCTCTGGCCTGGCTTTCTCTGATCCACTCCATTAGCAGCTTCAGATTCCCAGACTTTCTTGGAAAGCTCGAAAATTTCGTGATAACACGGCTTAGAGAAAACAGGGTCCTCGCCATTTTCACCCTTTTTTGCATTCGTTTGGAACTTCCTCTTCAGACTCCGGATTTTGTTCACTAATTGCGCCTTAGATACATCAGCATGGATCTTATTCTTCATGTATTCATGAAACAGCGACATCTCGGAGCATGGGTCAACACCTCTCTTTGAATGGTAATCGATCATTCCCTTTAAGATCGCGATCTCATCATCCTCATTCCAAAGGCGTTGGACACCAGGCTCTTTTTTCACATCTTCATCCTGACTTTCCGACAGCTTCTTCTTTTTGGACTCTTTCTTCTCTGTGTTGCTATCATTAGCGCGCTTTGAGCCTCCAGCAGCGACGATAGTTGCAGGCACGGGAGCCGAATCGTTGTTGGCTGCATGCTTCAGATGTTTCGCGGAGTCACTGATTGGCTTGCTCACAATGGGCTTGATGGTGAAATCCGACACGGACGGCGAGGGCTGGGTCTTGTCAGACTCGGTTTCGGATTCCTCCACCGATTCATCTTCAGCATTGCCCTCAGACTTTTCATCTTCGCGCTCTATGCCGTCAGAAACACCGTTGGCTTCCTCTTCAACGGCGTCGCTCGCCGATTCTTCCACTTCATCTTCAGTTGAAGAAGCAGCAGCAGCAGCAGCAGGAGGAAGAGGAGGCGGGTCTTGGAGGCGACGCTTTCGAGCCATTTTAAGCGGAACGGAAGGTATAGAGATGTTTTGGGATAACGGGACGGCCAGCCGAATATTGTAGCAGGGGGGAGGTCGGCGCCGTTGCACTGGGTTTCTTAGGGTTTTAATCTTTTCTCCTTTTCTTTTCGCTGTTAAAAAAGGAGTCTCTTCACTTCTTTTTTATTTTATGCAATTGAAAAAAAAAAACTTTTCGATTTGGTAAAATTAGTCTGTAAATTTGTGTAAAATTTTTACTTTGAATCTTTAATTTTATTAGTTTTCTTAATTTTAAGTAATTTTTAAAAAATAATCAAGAGTTTTTTACTAATTTAATAAAAAAATTTATAAAAATAAAATCACTATTATTTTTATTTATTAATCAGTCATCTAGCACAACTAAAATTTTCACTTTTAAAATATTCTTCAAAATTTAAAATTAATCATTACAACTTAACAAAAAGCTTAAAATTAAATATGCATGGGCAACAACTTAAAATCGTGAAAAATTAATTGCTGCAACTATTGGATGGTTGGTAGTAAATAACTTATGAATTGTGGGAAACGCTATAAATCTTAAAAATTTAGTTACAAATTACAAATTATAAATATTATAATCGCAAGACGTGGATACTTAATCGTATATATTTAATATACTTTTATTTAATTAAATTAAATAAATTTTAATATAATCAAGTAAATTTAATGTATTAATAATAATAATATTATTAATAGTAAGAGTTTTTAGGAAATAAATCATTTATAGAAAGATTCACATATCTTAATCTTAATTTAATTTAATTGAAAACCAGCATCTTAAATATATAAAGTTAAATATATATAACACTTTTTCAATTATAATTATAAATATAAATTTAATCTAAACACTGCAGATTTTAACCAATTGATCAACAGACTTTTATAATTAGGCGTTTTGGTTCCTACAATTAAACTATTTAGATTCATGGAACTTCCACATTCTACGAAGTGACGTGCAATTAACCTTTTTCTTATCTACAGGTGAATTTTCAATATTTGTAACTAAACTTCCAAAGTTTACAAAGTTGTCATAATTTATAACTTATTTGTGCTGGCTAAAAAAAAATCATAACTTATTTGTAATTAATTTTTTAAAATTTGTAATTGAGTTTTGCAATTTACAATTCATCTTTTGCAATTTGTAACTGAGTTATGTATTAATTATATGAGGGTATTTTTCATCCATTTATTTCCTTTTTAATACCTTTATTTATAATCTTAAAAATTCGTTATTCTTTATAATACTTAATTTCCTTCTACTATCCTTTTTCCTCACTTCCTCTTTTCTTTTTTTAACTAGTAAAGGACTTACCTAATCATTTTGAATTAGGAGTATATGGGGTGATCAAAAAGGCAAAATACATGGAAGTAGTTTGCAAACCTTGTATCACATGTTACGCCTCAAGTTGACGGAACACAATGAAGGCTAGATTAACTTGGATTGAATTGAACATTGACAAACCTTTTCTGGTGGAGGGTTCTACTATAGAATCTTAATGCTGTTATCTTTTTAGAATCAAACTCAAGACCAATAATCAAGTGGGAACAATTCCTTATTAGTTGATCTCAAGGGTTAGACAATGGATTCTAGTTCTTTTCATTAAGGAATATTTCAGGAATTGAGCCCAAACTGATCCTTTGAGATTTTCTTGGCTAAAAGGCTAAATATGATATGGCGATTTATTAATGTAATCGTGCGTCTTACTGTCACTATTTTATTCTCCCAGTTCTCTTAATTCTACTATTTTTTAATATTTCTTATTTAACTTTTGTTACCAGCTTAAAGTGACAAAATCACATTTTTCATGTATCATCTCATTTTTATTCTTTATATAATGGTTTCTTCTGCTTGATTTCATTACATAGCATTGCAAAATTTGAAAGACACTGGTATTCATACAAGCAGTAAAGTTCTCCTTGTGTCATCATGAAAAAAGCTTTTTGGACTCAACACAACTTCAAAGTAATATAATTTGCGACATGTGACGCACTGCTATCATCAATATGTAACTATATATTATTACTATTTCCCGAATGTGAAAAAAATTACACAATCTTCACGAATCCTTATAACAAATCCTTGTGCATAATGTTGCAAGATGAATGTTGCTCAGTACAATATGATTAGCAGTCAAATGGGATATTGAAGAAGCTTTCATCACACCAAGCAAAGTATGAGTATAGCTCAAGTAGACACACATTTATACTCAACTTCAGTTCAAGGTTCCAATCCTGTGCAAATCAATCAACCAAAAGAAAAACATAGCTCTATTCCTCAATGTGTTAGGAGGCAAGTTGTAAAGAGAAATCCCATACAATTCACAGCTTGATGAGGAGCTGGCATATAAACATAATAGACTAGGCATTACATAGCTCGCCCATATTACATGTTACCTTATAACACATGTCCCTTCGATAGTTTTTAAGCACTGAACTTGTTCACTAAGCCACATTATTTCCCTCGACTTTGCCGAAGCAGAAGAGCAAAGGAGAGTCTCAGAGTCAAAATGACTATGGTGACAAGCTCTCATCATCAGAATCAGAGAAACCCATGCGCCGCTCTGCAATTGTTGGAAATAGTCTCTGATGAATATCCTGTAGTTGCTGAGTCCCTACAATAGATGACACAGTCGTTGGACTCTCTCTCTTTGAAGCCTTTGCTGATTTCGTGGTTGTATCTTGAACCTCTTTACATGCCTTATCCAACATTATCAAGAAATCACGTACCACCACAAACAAGCGCAACCCTTCGTCCCTTCCTGCAGTACCGTGGAAATAATCGGCTGTGCTCTTTACCAAAGCCATTATCCTCTTCTCTTCGTCCAACAGCCATGTGATATCTGCCTCTGCTTTATCCACAAAACTTTGCAGAGAACGATGGAATTCCGAATCTTCATCAAGATTCTTCAACTCATTGCTGAGGAATTCTTTGGACTTCAATAATGACTGGCCAAGTTTTGAAGTTGTGGCTGTTAGACCTTCACCATCTACAACTGCTGCCTTTTTGACATCTTCTAGCTCCTCACCTAAACTTGAAACCACTCGAAGGCCAAGTCCACGATAATGCTCTACTGTCGATTCTTCATCAGTGTCATCAAGGAAATCCTCAGTTTTCACACTAGACCCGCTAGTTTGGTTAGCTTTCTGTGTTCGTACGGCTCTTATACCCTCAGATCGTATAATCTCCTGAACCACAAAGTGTAATAGAGTTGTTTTGCCATCAGTTCCTTTTACATCGGACAGTTTTAATAGTGTGTCTAGCTTAAATGCCTGAGCACCACCACGATAGGTACCATCATTCATCCGGTTGCCGGTTTTCAGAACTGCTTCTAATAGTTTCAAGAATAACCTGCTTTTTCTAAGGTTGTTGCAAGCAACCTGCCATTCAGATTCAGCAAATAATAAGCTTATATTACTCACTATTCTAAGTTCTTTTTTGAGATAACTACTCAATATATAAATAGATTGGATTCCTTGTGAATGTATAAATCTCACTTATACCTCTAGTGTTGCGAAGGACTCCTTGAGATTCGCGACATCTTCTGTAAAGGTAATCATGAACATCAAAGATTCAAGACGTTTGAAGGCAAATGGAATGTCAACCATAACCTTGAGAAATCTCTCAGCAGGGCCAAGTTGATTAAGATCACCAGTGAATAATCTAAGCTTTAATTCCTCATCTGTTGTTAGTGTCATCCTTAGTAATGAGTGGATGATCTCAACCGGAATCTCGCTTCCTGATTCAAATTTAAATCCACATATTGAAAGTGATTCATGCTTTGAAATATAAGAGTGTTAAGTGAAGACCCAATATTAATAAAAAGTATGATATGAGGAGGTATTAAAGAGAACCACTCCAAATTAAGTCCTCACTTGGTATAAAATGACAAATCACTGCAGAGTGGCCATTTGGTCATTTGTAGTGTTTAAAATTATTGGCCTGAGTTGCCTGATTTAACATAGCCTACTCAAATGTATGTGTTTTGAATTTGCAATTTAATGTTGGTTACGTGAATAATATCAATTCGGTTAGATGTTAGCAGTGGCAGATCATATTTTCTCGGGGAAATTGCAATATGGATCCTTTTGATCACTCTCAATTAAAAAGAGAGCCACATAAAGCTCTGAAACTTGAAATTGAATGAAATTAAAATGTTAAAAGAAAAAATAAAATTAACCCTCTTTTAATTTTTTTTTAAAAAGCTTCTTCAATTAATTACGTCCAAATTTCGCGATTAATGGAAGGTTTGCATCGTCAAAATTCCCAAGCTGGCGAGGAGCAATCGGTGTTGGAAGGTTATTAAACGATATTTTTTTACCAGGAAAAAGCTACCAAATGATTCAGGAGAGCAAAAATGAAGAATAATATATGGATGAGTTGGAAATTGAAGGGGAAATCAACAAATTTCGTTAACCCTTCTCGGCTCTGTATCGCACAAGCTAATAAGATTTAAAGTTTTTAACTTTTGCAGGTCTCTCTTTGTATCTTAGGTTTCCCCTGCAACTATGGAACGAGGTAGTGTGTGGGTGTATTGAAATGTGAGTTTGATTATCTATATACATATAAAGGAAAAGGTAATTGAATCCCAGAAATGGAATCATTAGACAAGCACACGAGCACAGAAGATTCCAGCGATGACGAGGCATCACCAAGAGGAATACTGGAAATCCCTGTCTCTGGGACAGAGTTGAATCACAGCGGAAGCAGCAGCTGCAGCCCAAGCTTACTGGAGAAGTCATCGGAGGCAGAGAGAGGGAGTATGAGGGAAGGGGTGGAACAGCTATGGAAGGCGATGATAGAGTTTTTGAAGAAGAAATCGGTGCAGAGAATACTGGCGATTTCATAACTGGCGGCGACCTAAAAGATGTCAAGGAGCTTGCGGGAGAGGAGGAGATTGCGCTGAATAACCTTCTCTTGAATTTTTTTTTTAAATTTAATCTTTTTCAACATTTTAATTTCAGAAGTTTCAAAGTTTATGGAGCTCTCTTCTCCTTTTTTTTTTCTCCCCGGTAGCATGCTATGCAAATCATAAATGAGGATTTCATAGTTATTTTACTATTCGTTGACCTGATTGTTCATTTAGCTT